TTTGTCCCATCACCCAGTGCAACACAAGAAATCAGTAGTGCGATCGTTTGTACAGAGATCAAATACAGTGTCATCTAATGAGCTCCATGGCGCAAATGAGATGACTCATTTACAGGGAGCTTTGGTGAAACGTCACTACCCGAGGCGTTTTGTTGACGAGGTCAAAAACAAAATGAAACAAAATGTGGAACCGTGCGAAAGGGAAAGAGATAAGAATGTAGTGTGCATCCCCTATGTCAAAGGAGTCTCCGAACCTCTTAGTCGCGCTTTGAGGCCCCTTGGCATCCGAACTGTTTTCAAGCCATACAGAACTATTGGAAATTCCGTTTCGAAACCAAAGGACCCAACCCCGGCGAACGTCCAAAGAGGCGTTATCTACAAGATCCCCTGCAGTGACTGCCCAGCGTCCTACATTGGTGAAACCGGACGGAGGAGAGATACCAGACTCAAAGAACACAAGCGTGACGTCACGTACGCATCCCATGCGACGCGACTGAAGACTGAACTGGTGGACCATACGTGGACAATGGGGCATTCTTTCGACTTTCCGGCCGCGACGACCTTGGCGAGAGAGGACAGATGGGGGCCCCGAAAGCTTCTAGAATCGTGGTTTCTTCGCAGGGACACATCCGTGTGCAACAAAAACCGCGGCCCTCTCCACGAAGCTTACACGGACATTCGTGATAAATAGCGTCGAGTTTAGGTTGAACCCTGCATTTGCTGTGTAACTACTGATGATGCCTCCCGCATGGGAGGCGAAACGTCTAATGAAGTTGTTTTTTCTGTTATGTCAAGTCGGTGCTTTTATTTTAATTATGACGTCTCCCGGCTTTTGGAGTATTTTTGCAAGCCTCCGCTCAGGCGGTACACGCCAATGTTCTCAGATCTATCGGTTGACAAGCTCCACGGAAGAGCAGCGTTAAAAAAAATGAGACGTTTACATTTCTCTGTAATGCGAAAGGAGAACACAGCACTTGACGAGGAGGGGAGGGTTTACATCTCCTTTCCCTCCAATTTAGCAGAAAATGTTAGCTATATTCCTGCCCAATTTAGCGGGTTAAATTTCCCCGCTAAATTTGGCGGGGAAATTGACGTCAGGTGACCCAACACAAATTTAGTGGGGAAAATGACGTCGGATGACTAACACCCATGAACAAATTCAGTTTCTCCGCTAGACTTAGCGGGAAAATTGACGTCACGTGACCTCGACACCAATTCTATTTCCCGCTAAATTTAGCGAGGTAGTTACATAGACGGCGACACCGCTAAATGCAGAAACAGGTGCCTAAGAGCCTATAAGAACCACAATAAAATCACTTTTCACTGCAGGTAATGCGCATCGAACATTCCACCGGATCTGTCCATAGAGCGGGCTGATAGTGTGGCAGGCGCCACTGAGCAGACGCACCGCAAAAAGGCGTCTGGCGTTTTCAGAAGCTTGTCAACTGACCTAGATGTGAAAATGTTTGTACATGTATTGCTACCATTGCCCAGCGGGATTGGATATTGTTGGAGATCTGTGTTTGCTGAAAAATGTTTTTACAATGTTCACACTTTGGTCAATGCAAGCACATCTTTTTTTTCACCAATATTGACTAATAGCATTGCAGCAATCAATCCAGTTGACACCAAAATGTTATAAGCAATAAAGGAATTAAAACCAGGCTGTTCTGTGAGTGCAGATTTTATATCTTGTTTCATTGTTAAGGGCGGCCGATCCGAGAAATCATGATCTTCCATTGTGCTGGAAGAGGTCTCGTACAAGTAAAGGACGCTGGTGACATGTATGGGGTAGACATTCATTGCCTCGTTTCCTTACTGTATGCTCGTTTGAAAGTGTCTAGATAGTTATACACAGACATGGGTCTTTTTACTCCAGTTAAAAAGTGGCACTATTCAATGCAATTTTTTTTCGAAGGTTGCTCAGGAAAAACTATTTTATGTAAGTTTGAATACACAGCACCATTTTTTGACTGAAGTAAGTTCATATAATTTGATTTATAACATGCTCTTGATAAGATCAACCACAAAATGGTTTCGTAAAAACCTTTATTGCATGGTGTAGCATTGCCACTTTTAAAAGTCGCTCACGAGGTGAGGACAGTGGGAGAAACCTCAGTTTCCTGCCTCCAGCACGAGCTTCCTACCTTCGGCAATGCATAGAGGCCGGACATTTGTAAGACACTCCCAGCCATTCGCATTCCGTTAACGACGATATCTAACGTATCGCCCGAATCGTGTCTGGGTGTTCAGTAGACCATCACATGTTTTTGTACCAACTTGGAGTGTGCCTCGAGGACCAAATGTAGGACGAGAATGGCAGGGAGGAGCTTCCTACATTTGGCAATGCTTTGGCATCTTGCAAGCCTCAACAATCTACGCAGAGTGAAAGCATGAGAAAAGGCGACAAGTGCTTGCTGGAGGTTGGGCATTAAGAGATGCCCTGCATTTCTCATCTTGTCAGCGACTATTAGCACCGAGATGTTATGGTGATATTCTTTTTTGTTTGCGACATCACGGGCAGTTTGATACTTCAGCCCCATATTCCAGGTAAGAAAAAGAAAAGCCTTTCATTCAAGGCTTGTCAAAATATTAGGTGCCAGAAAATATCTGCCATCTACTTTCAGTCTTTATGAAGAATCCTATGTTCACGGCCGCATTGAAAAGCACTGCAAAGGAGCCCACATACTCACCTGATCTCACCACACCAGTCTCCCCCTGCACAATAAGTTCTGTGTGCTATGGTCACCTAATGTCAATAGATGCACATTCCAATGCAGCAACTGAAGCTAGCTACAGCCACACTGTCTTCCAAATGCAGTCTGCTACTAATGCAACAGTAGCTTGGGCTACAAGATAGGCTTCCAAACAGGCTGCAGGTCACCCCTCGCCAATGCGAGGGGGTGACCATGTGGTCAGCTGCTGCAGTTACCGAAAAGTTTTCATACCTACAGTAAATCAAGCAATAATCAAAAGTTGAAAACTATCTGCTATAAGAGAGTGGCATATAACGAAGCCTTAACAAATAGTTTGAGCATTGAGGAAATATATTTTTCAGCACATTGGTGGTGCAAATTCTCTATTTTGATGAAGTTGAGTGCAGCACAATAGGGCAAGCACTTTGGTACAGTGATTGCATCAGAGTGATGGTGAACCCCTGTCGCATACGAGCCAGCAGAGCAGACCGCTGCCAGTGGTTTCATGCCATCCCTTCAATTTATTTCTAAAATTCTAGATCTTTTCACCCACCGTTGCATAGGCGCTGCCATCTTGGAATCACATGACACAGCGTCATAAAGTGGCTTCAAATTGTCTCTCCCCTCCGCTCCTAGGCAAAGGCATATTGTTTTTTGTTTTCTTTGCCGCATTTTATTGCAATTTTTTGTTCTGCTTTGTGAAGTGTCTCACTTATTTTTATTACCTAACTACATGCCATCACTATGTGCACAACTTACGCACCTTATTTTATAACAGGTTACGACTATTTGCTCTATCGGCATACCAGTGGTCCGAAGCAAGAGCAGGGAAAAAAAGCAGATGATATGCTATGTTTTTTTTCTTCTTGCTTTGCGGCCATGCGATAGTTGTTCAAAGGCTTGCCGACTTTAGGCATACTTTAATTCAATGCCAGCTGTTGGTGTTGTGTGCACAAAAAGAAAGCTTAAAAGAAGAAAAGAATTATATGGCAAGTTATAAAGTTTACTACTTTTTATTTCTGAAAGGACAACATATAATTCTCATTTTGATCAAACCAGTCTCATGTAGCTCTAAGTGGTGGATACATGCTCTACGATCGCATCAGGCAGCAAACTATACTGTGCCTCAGTGAAACTTGGCAAGAGGCGAAAACTTTTTCTCGGTTAAGTCCTGCAAGCAAAGTACCGGCCACCACACCACCACCAGCTGGTAGGGCACACTAGTTTTTAGCTCCACACTGTGATAAAGGAGAGTGAAATTAGATGTGTTCTATCTAAACCACTGTGCAGGCCTACCGTAAACCTTGGTCAAGTTTGAGTTGCTCTACCAAGAGCTATATGCTATCTGTTCGACTTTCACACATTCTGGCAGACAGATTGGACAAATTTGATTCAATATGCCTCCCAGCCTTTTAATTAAAGGGAAACTGAAGCGGTTCTCTATTTGAGAAAAAACATTTCAATGGCCTTCATTCTACCTCCAGGATGAGGAATATCAAGATTATTTTTCAATTTGGTGCACGGAGGCTTCAGAAATTAATTTTTAAAGTACCGCCGAAGCCCCTCCTTCCCGGGGCGTGACGTCACACTAGGAGCCTTCGGAATATCTGCTCTCGCGTATCTTCAGCGCCTGTCAAAGCTATGCACGCGCACTCTTGCTATTTTCAGAAAGGTTAGAAAGAGACGTCACGACTGGTGTCAGTGCGGGGAAATATACCTGGCAAGCTTGCGTTGCACGCGCTGAACACACGAGCGACACGCGCTTGGCGGCCCGAAGATCCTAGTATGACGTCACGACTGGTCGAATGTTTTTTCGCTTTTTCTTGCTTTTAGTTGCATCTTCAGGGAAAACAAAAGTGATATTCAGATTCACGGGATAAAAATACGCCAGAATTCACCTCTAACTCGTTTTTTTCAAGAAGTGTTTCAGCTTCCCTTTAAGTGCAGCCTATGCAAGAAACTCGTTTTCAATAAATGCTGCCACAACATGGCAGTCGAGCAGCCCGCTAAAGCTGCAACCTTGTTCAAACAATTGTAACAGTGGTCTTTGTATGCTGACTAAGCGCACTTTGTTGTCAGGACGAACAGAACGGGTTGCCAGGAGGCCCGGGACTGGCCTCAAAACGTAGGCCCACACAGTGCTCTAATGTGTACCACCATGGGACCAAACACAAGCGAGGCTCGGCAGCTCTGCTGGCATTCAGTCTGTGGCAATGGACTTACGCTTGTCCAGGGCCGGTGCTCAGTCTATACAGTACATATCCAGAAAGAGGAGATTGTTATTGAACTTGGCAGCTTACAGAATCGGTTTGTTTCTGTTCCTTTATTTTACCCTCGGAGCCAGGGGCATTACACAGTGCAATTGCAAATGCAACCATAGGAAACAAACATGTTAAACAATGGTGTGAACAAGTTACACAATAGTGGTTAAAATTCAAGACCAAAATATATGAAACTTAAAGGACACATCGTAGGAAATCGCATACTGCCGCAGATACGCCAGATCCCATGTGGTCCGTCAAACAACCAGAGTCCAGCCTGGTTCTTTCACGGGAGCGGGAATTCCGCTCCCTTTTATTTGTTCCGAAAACACAACGCTCAAAAACACTCAGTCTAAACTGCAAAGACATGCGACATTACACCGATATTCGCACGTAAAGCCAAAGCTAAACACAAAGAGGGCCCCCAGGCCTCGTCTCCCACGATTACCCGAAATCCGGTCACACACACTTGCCTGTTCTCGGCACCGCCCAGTCCCCAGAGGCCCTTCTACCCCGGTCCCCCGTCAATATATCGATGGGCGAGGAGGTTTCTCCTCGCCCATCCTGGGGCGCCTGTGATGCGCTCTAAAGGCACTCTAAAAATCAAACTTTTATCTGTTTAGTTTGCTCACCTTCTGTGATGCGACACGCCATCACATTCTACTCCGTTTCACCTTGTGTTGTACCGCAGCCGACTATACGAGCCACCGGAGCCAATCCAGCTCTTTGTCGCAGCCAGATGACGCTGTGCTCGACGTGCCGTTGCGCCCAACGGACAGGCCACGTGACACACCTTCGGCACTGGATTGGCTCCGATGGCTCGCAGCATTCAGAGTAAAGTGCGGTATTGCATTTTGTGCTCTAGTAACTCACCACTGCCAAACTGCTACGCCAGAAGCACTCAGCAGACCCCACCAACTCTGCCGCCCCTACGCTCCATTCACCTCTACGCTGACAGGGCGGTAGGAGCCATGTGGTTGGTGGGCCAAGCTTTTATTGCCTCATGTCCGACCTGCACATCAGTATGAGAAAGGGGCATGATAAGTGATGCAAGACTGACAATCGGCTGGTTCACCGAGCATGTAGCCTCCAGTGCCCTGTCAGTTAAGGGTGAATGAAGTCTAAAGTTGGTATATAACAGCCGTCTACTGTCCCACTCTCAGGCATGCCACCCTTGACCAGTCCAGTCGTTGATCTTTAAGCAGGGTTAAGCAATGACTGCCTCGTGCCACCAAACATGAAGGTGTCCATGGAACAAAGCCGCATTTGTGTCTACTCGCACCTTTGAGAAAATTGGTCCTGCCATAACCCACACCTCGTCGAGGTAGAAAACTTTCGGGCCCTTTATTTCCTGTGTTGTACAATACCCCAAGAGGTACCTCTGTTGAAACAGAACTATCTTGACCCCCTCGATCAGAAGCGAGGCCCCTGCGGCCATTAAGCGCCGTTTACTCATTCATAGATGTTGCTCCTTTCGACAAAATGTCTGTGGCGACAGCTGGAGCTAGTGAAAAAGCGGACACCATAGCTCTTCCCAAAGCACCCTGTTCTTCCTCCAGAGCGGCTAGTTCACCAAGGAACAGTGCAATGGTGGTCTGTGATCGCAGACCACCATCATAGCCCCACCAACGGCGGCAACCCCCCCCCACTGACGTCACTCAGGTGACAAGCATTTCACTCGCATGACGTGACTCCAAGCCATACTCACTATGGCTGGCGACAACCCATAAAAGGCATGCGCTGGCCCTTTGACCCACGCGGAGTGCAGTGCAGGAAGTGGAACGGCATCGGTGACCCAGTCGCTGCAGTTACCCAGAACTGTCTTACTGGTGTCTCGGTGAAGGTGCAGGCCCGCTGTTTGATGCACGTAGGTAGAAGCCATCAGCCGCAAGCATCAGACAGCTGGGGTGGAAAATTTTGCACCCAACAAAACAATAACCATGAGAAGAGTGGTCTAGCCGGTGAATTGCAAAAACATAAAAAGCAGGCACATAAAACCTTGTCTTGCAAAAACACAAAAAGCAGGCACATATAGAAGTATTTCTGTTACCTCGTCTCATGCTCAAGCATTATTTTGGATAGTATAGTATAATGCCTGTCTCGCAGTGGCTTTCTGAACAAAATGTAGTAGAAAATACAACCAGTTGAATACCAAAGGAGAAGTAGAACAGAGAGGCACTTATTTGTTGTCACTTTAACATGCACATTACGGAAGAGCACAACACTTCGCGATTAACCTGTAGCAGAATCGCTTAGCAGTCCTGCTGCAGGTGTGAATGTACCACGAGGCAGAATACAGCATTTGTGCAGAAAACACCATCGCAGGCCTACTAGGATGAACAGTAACATTACCCGCCAAATTCGACGCGCCGGGAGGGCCATTCGCGAAGCCTGATCTGTTTGTAAATCCCGTCTTTCGACAGAACGCTTTTGCGACTGCACGAGCTCGTCAAAAGCTGACATTCCCAACGCGATTGGTCCTTCTTTAAGTGCGATTACTGAATGCAAATGCGGCGCAGGCGGCACCCGGGAGCCACATGTCACTCCCGTTGATTATCTCTACTATCTTCTTTGTCCCCGACGCTACGTGAGGTAGCCAAGCGCTATCAAATTCCACCACTGCGGTGTCGCATGGACGATCGAACGCCACCAGAGTAGGTAAATTCCACTCACCTTTTACGTTCCGAACAAGCGTCCCACGGGCCTCCATGTGGCGAGACGGGGCCTGCTAGCTTGCATGAATGCGCTGTGAACTTCACTGCCGACGCTCGTTCCCAAGCATTGAATATCACGACCAACTCCACTCGGCAATACGGCGGCACATAACACGACAACGTGTAATACAAAAAAGACCGCTGGAACCGACGCGACCACTCCAAAAAGCACCCAACAAACACTTGGAAAAACAAAAAGTAAAAACAAAAAATAAAATTGAAACAAGCAAAAACAAACAAAACAAAAACTTTCGTCACTTCCGGTTTGTGTTGTTTTGCTTGTTTTTGCTTTTTTCTCTCAGCCAATAGGCAGGGGGGTAAAGGTGGGTGAGGAGGAGTGGCAAATCCCGTGCGCCGACATCCTGGGTCCCGAGTGAACGATCGCGAAAGAGAGCGACAGAACACGAGAGAAAGAAGGCAACGTTGCCATGGTAAACGCGAAGAGTGTAAACTCTCAGCAATATAAACAGTGATAATTTAACGTTGTAAACTAAATTCTGAGCTATTCTAACGCTTATAAAAAGCAATAAAGTCATTACGCTGCATTAACTTCCCTTCTGTCGAAATCTCGGAAATCTGGTGTTTGCGCAGTTTCGTATTCCTCAACCGCGCCCAGCCGCGCCCCACCAGCGAAGCCGGGTATATGGTTTAGTTTAGCGTTAACGCGAGGCCGTACATCTGCGCGCTATGCAAAAAGAAACCTTCGAAAGGAACGCGAGTATTTTTCCACCGGTAAGTTCGTGGATTGTTGAAGTTCACGAAACTGCTCTGATGATGTAACCGTGTTTGGGACCCAGAGGGTCTGCCTGCATGATCCGCCGCTTGCGGCAGCCAGAATGTATGGGAAAATGGCGGACCTTTTCCTCTAGATTTAGTATATGATCTCTATGCCAATAGGCGTCGCAACCTTACTGCGGCGAAACGCTCGTCTCCCAATGGCCGCTGCGCTCGTCAGTTTCCACGACCGCTCACCCCATGGCGCTGCGTGTCCATCAGCGCGGAGCGTCCAAGGTCATCAGGGGCAATCAGGGGCGCAGACGCGCCGACATCGCGCCGACCGGCGACGAAAAGTACGCAGCAGACGAAAAAGGGGGCGGACGAGCGGCTTGCATGCTTTCGCATTCACAACTCATAGGGAATGCTTAGGTGTACCTCGATATTTTTTTGTTTACCAGACAGATACCATGATTTATTAAATGTACCCTCCAATCGTTCTCGAACTTCTTTCGATTTTGGGGAGAAACTGAAATCGCTGAAAGCGTAGTACAGCTATGGTGCCTGGAGCGCGTCTTCGACCGGTGTGTTTAGCGTCCTATCCCGCCCATACATTAAAAGTGGTCCTGAAGTGACAAGGAATGATGTCACAGAAGCCGAAGCTGCTGTCGCACGTCGCGATCCTGGTGGTTGGTCGTAGAAAATTCTGACGAAAGGCACGAGCGAACGCGAGTGTCGCTGTCGTCACGGCGTCTTAGGCGTCCCAACTTCCGGCTGCGCTAGCTTCCGTGGGCTGTCACAATAGAGAGCGACTTGCAGCAGAACAGGCGTCAGCTACACACACAACAGCTGCTGGAACGCCGCCAGGGTCACGACCGGCACAACATGACACTTTTTTGACGTCATCAGGCGGAAATTGAGGGACCACTTTTTTTGTTTGCGGTAAACACACCAGTCGTAGACGCGTTCCAGGCACCATTGTACAGCGTCGTTGGCGTCGTATGAAGGCAAAAAGCTGTTTGAAGCGAGCGGATCGTAAGCGAAACTGAAAACATAATATGGTTCTGTTTGCTGATATCGAGACGAACGTCAATTTTGGCATCTGATATGCGTCTATAATCAAGTTGTATATTTGTGGAAAATTTATTCACACGGAAAAGAAAGTTTTACCACAATAGTTTCTTACCCTTCCCCAGAAACGAGAAAATTCTCCGCGCAGGTCGTCAACACTGGGTTCATTATTTTGTTTCCGATTTCCCGCTCTGTTCTGCTCCGTCGAAACTTCGAACTGATCAAACCGGGCATGACTTTTCACCGGCACTTTGTGCTCAATCTCCAGCGAAGCATCAAAGCGTTCGTAGCTCAAGATCCGAGTTCAAGTGATCGCGTTCAAACGATCTTACTGAAACCCGTGCGCGCTTCATGACATCAACCGCAACGCTGCGACGTCTGCAATCCTCTCTGAGGCGATGTCTGCTGCTGGGGAAGCGCGCCTCTTCGAAAATTTTGTCGTCACGTCAAGCCAGTCAAAACAGTAAAGACCAAGAGTTCAAACCCGGCATGAGGGTTCTCAATGTGGCCGAGAAAAACGACGCCGCCAAGAACTTGTCCGAAATTATGTCGCGCGGATCGTACCGTCGCCGTGACGGCTTGTCTGTCTACAACAAAATCTACGAATTCGACTACAATTTGTTTAACACCAACTGCAAGATGATAATGACGTCTGTGTCTGGTCATCTGCTCACCCTGGAATTTGTGAGCGATTACAGAAAGTGGTGAGTGGCCAAAAGCCTCTGATTGGCTCTTGGTTTGGCGACAATTGTGTAACCGTCTGCTTTGGATGGTGTGTATGTGTTGGCGATGTCACCGCCTCCGCTTTGACTGGTATGTGTGTAGGCCCATCTGGTTTCGTGGCGTTTGCTTGCCGGTTGTGTAACCGTCTGCGATTGGCTGGCCATCTGGTTTGGTGGTGGTTGCGCAGCGTCTCTGATTGGCCCTTGGTTTGCCGCCAGTTGTGCAACCGTCTGCGATTGGCTGCCGATTTCCTAGCGGTTGTGCACACATACATGATTGACTGTCCTCATGCTTCCGCGATGGTGATGGTGTCTCTGATTGTCTGCTGATTTGGCAACGGTTACACGCTGTTTGATTGTCAGTTTGCATTGCATCACTGATCACACGTGCAGTAGTGTGACTGTCTTTGAGTGCTTGGCAGTGGCAGTCTGAAATTTCTAGGACTCTAGTGCATCAAGTTTGCCAGCGCTCAGCTAGGAGTACGTACAAGTTTATTATTAACGACTTTTAGTAAATCGTTTCGATGACTGATAACGATACCCGATACTCCGCCAATGCTTTTGTGCATGCATCATATCGTTATCGGAAGTATCTCAAAGATATACTAATACTCTCTATTGTAACTATGTCTTTACTAAGATAATTTTAATGTTGTTAAAAGGTTCTTTCAGGCAAGATGCTTATAACTGCTTTGCCGACAGTTCCTATGCCGCATATACCGCATAATTATTCAGGCATGTTTGGTGACTCAGTGCGGAGCGCAAGTTCGTCTGCTTCTTGCCTTGCGGTGGTGATCATGTCAGAACGCCGAGCTCTTATTGGCCAATTGAAAAAAATAGTGGGTATACCTCGAGGCATCTAGCAATCGAAGCCAATCATAGCTCGGCGTCACTCTAATGTCACCACAACTCCTGCGAAAAAAGCAGACGACTTGCTCTCAGCATAGATTTGTTTGAACTGGCTGCGAGTAGAAACTCCAGCACTTCCCCAATTGATCGCGGGATGTGTGCTTAATAGCATGTCATGTTGCAGGCATTCATGCTCTCCAGTGGAACTCTTCCACGCTCCAGTGATCATGTCCTGCGGGGATAAGAACTACGAGAAGATCAAGGTAGTGACTTGTGCATGCTTTGTGTCCTGCAACCCGTACACTTTGCACCATAAACGTTTTACAAAAGATTTTTTAACACAATCCGTGTGTGCACGATTTATATGCCATTCGGGCCCATGACCCTTCTTTTCTGTCTCTTGTCGTGCTCGTCCAATAACAGCATATTATTGTGGAGTACACTGAGAACTAATTTGCCTGCAGGTCACTATTTTGAAAAGAGTAAAGACGACTTTGTAAACTGCTTAATTCAGGAACCCTGCGAAGTGCAGATGAACCGTAAAATTTCTTCAAGGATTTTTACGAGAGAGAAAAAAAAAAAAAAAAGCACACAGCTGTTTGTGTTTTGAGCCTGGCGTAGTATTTGGTGGAAGGCACTTCACGGCAGTACTTGGGTCCAATTAAGCCACGACTTGCACATATCTCTTCTTACAGACAAATTATTATGAAACATCAACCTACTGATTGTGGTAAACCACAACCACTGTTCTTGACAGATATTTGTAAATTGGTTATGTGCTTTGTAAAGCACCGTCGGAAGCCTTACCGAATTTAATAGAACATTAAAGGGGCAATGCAACGATTTTTGTATTTTCCGCAAATACCGCTTAGAACGGATCCTGATGTTATTGACCTGTGAAATACCCGTTCGTTTTCCACCACACGCAATCGAAGTCGCAGCAGAAAAATAAAGAAAAACAAACAGAGTTCACATCCTCAACTCTCAGCCAGAACAAGCGGCCACGCGTTCTGGAGCCGATTATATGCCGCCAATGTTGATTATAGCCATGCGCTGGGGTTGGCAAGGCACAGGACACGCGCTGAGTTCCAGACATTGTTATGGTTCGGCTGTTGTCGTCGTTGCAGCGATCGGGCACAGGGCACTACCCGAATGCTTCTCGAGCTATCGATTATCACGAGCCCAAATCGAGTGTCCACGCCAGGCTCGGGTCCAATCTATGAGCCGCATTCAAATATCGTCACTGGGCGGTACTGCTACCGCCCAGTTAAGTCATCAGGTTTTGCGAAGGAGAGATTGAATGAAGACACTCGGTTTTGTCCTCGAAATTACAGCGCAACAAAGGAGTTTCTTGGTCAGTGGCGTTGCGTGCAAATATCCTTGAGTCCCACTAGTGCCAGTAAGCTCGTGTAAAGAAAAAAACATTCCGACTGAATATCGTTGCACCGCCCCTTTAAGTGTGACATTCCTTCCCACAGGAAACGTTAGAGAAGGAGATTCGCTACTGCGATGCCCTCGTCATCTGGACTGATTGCGATCGCGAGGGGGAAAACATCGGCTTCCAGATCATCAGCGTCTGTCGCAAAGGTCAGTTGATTCACGCTTCACCTGCAGAATACTTCTCAGCAGGCTTTCCTCCTTTGCATTCATCATTCTCAAGAGGGAAGTACGGAGAGTGGCCATAAGTGTTACCAACACATTTGGCATGCCTTTTAAACTTCAAATTTGAAACATACATACCTGAAATTGGGCATGCGAACACAGTTTCACCAGAACTTTTATGTCTTTTTTTAAAACTCAATTATGAGGTAGTGAAATATTAAAAATAAAGCAAAATCGAAGGCCGTGTATTTCCTCTGTCCTATAGACCGTTCCATTAGGGTCATAGCAGAGAGGGTAAAAGAGAAAAAAATGCACTCCCCCTCTCACCCCGCATCTCGTCCGCTCCGCCGAGTGGGCTGTAGCTAGCGTCCGGCTGGCGTGCAAACTCTGTTTAAAATCGCGTCATTTTGGAACTTTCAAGCGCAGATGCGCAGATTTTGGTATGCCAGTTGTCGTGTTATACTATGCTAGATAAAAAGACTCACAGGGTCCAATTGCAATGTTATCTGCGTGCAAATAAAAAAAAAAAAAAAAGGGAAAACTGAGTCGGATTGGCCGGTCTCTCCGGCGAAAAGTGAATCCGGTGGCTGTACCTTTTTTACCATACAAAGTTCGTACTGGTGTAGGCCTTTAGCGACCATGAGTGGATGTCTGAAATAGTAAATAAAAACGTGCTCTCCTGCCGCAATACACGCAGTAGTTGAGGGTAGTACTGCCGGCTGACTCAACTGCTATTTAAGTAGCGGAAAAAAGATATGTCAGTTGATCATTTACCGAAGTAGAACAACATGGAGCTCTAGGCTGATTTTGGAGTAGCCATAACTACTCTAAGAACGCGAACCACTTCACAACGGCAGCCACGAGCGAGAGTTCGATGTTCCGTACAGCCCGCCGATACAGCCCAAAGATGGAGAATGGCAACCTCCCGTTTTGTCGCCTGCTAGCGGAGTCAGGCGCGTGCCCTCTCTCTCGTTTTACCCCACCGAACCCGCTGAATTTCCCGGATGTATAGAGAGGGCGCTGCTGTCGAACAAAATGGTGCCGCCCAGAGAGCGCTAAATGGAATGGTCTATACCAGCCTGTTTGTCACTTGTTTAGTGTGCCGGGTGCCTTGCTGAATGTAAAAACACTAAAAACCAATAACAGAGACTGGCAATGAGCAATATAATTGCAATAATTCATACTTTTGACGGAATATATGAATAATGATGGCCACCTGGGAGCAAGCTCACGAACCAGCGTGCAGACGACGAACATCCGGTATAGGGCATAGGAAAGGCATGGCCACCGTTTTTGCTCTATTTTTAATATTTTACCCCGTCTGACTGAGTTCCAAAAAAAATTAGACATAAACTTGTTGCGAAACTATGTTTGCGTGCCCGATTTTAGATATGTATGTTTGGAATTCGAGTTTCACAAAGCACGCCAAATGTGTTAGTCTTTGCGGCTGTACCCTGTAGTCCGTAGAAACTTTGCACAAAAGAAAATTTTATGGAACCCAATGGAGGAGTTCTTGAATTCAGTTTAGTGTCCTCCGACCACTGGGAAATGGGAGAGTTCCCCTTTTCCTTAATCTCAATTTAAGGTTGGCCATTAAAGGAAATTCACCAGCTCATAACTGGACGGAGAATCCTTATATATGTTTTTAGGTATGGAAGATACAGCTAAAAAGTATCACAATGAGTTGTTTAAGGGCATCTCATGCAAGCTTCTTCTTTCTTACATTGCACTGCAAGGGGATCTGGCAAGCAGCAAATTGTCCCTCTGTCTTCTTAGTACTGTTGACTGCCTATGAAACTAGGATGTCAATGTGATCACACAAGCTGGTGGTCCCATTCTGTGTTATTGCCTAGCTAACTTCTATCTTGATACGGGACCAAGAACTGCCCATTGGCTGGAGTCTTCTGTATAAGTGCGTCTGTTCACTAGTCTAACCTCGCAGTGCTATCAGGCTGCTCCTTACACACTAAATCGCACCAGTGTTGCTGACCCCTTCACGTCTGCAATGCTGGTAGGAGGAAATTGGTTACAATACATGAAACGAGCAGCCCGAAGCTTTTTGTTGAGTCCTAGTCTTTTCTTTTATATGTTTGTTTTTGCTCCACTCCGTCGTATCACAGTGAAACCGGGAGTTCGGGTATACCGGGCCCGGTTTTCGGAGATCACGCCCCAGGCCGTGGCTCGTGCGTGCCAGAACTTGGCCGACCCCGACCCCAAGCTCAATGCAGCCGTTGAAGTCCGCAGGGAACTCGATCTCAGGATAGGTGAGACCGTGCGCCCTTCCTCTCTGCCTGACTTGCTCACTTGGAGACCTGTCAATAGAGTGCGATATTGCATCTGTCGTGCAATCCCTAGATTAAGTAGCCCTGGTAACAGGGCCTCTTTTTAATGCATGGCAGGCATTTTAATGGAACCCTTTAATGCAAGGAATTCGTCCATCCGTTCATTAGTGCATTTTCCTGCTAAATTTAGCAAGGAAATCGGCGTTACATGACTGGACGTCGTGCAACACGTCCACATGGTGCGATGTCACACTGTCTTTAGTGTGTCAGGTAATGCCGCGACGTGACTCCAGGCCATGTGATGTCGATTTCCCCGCTAAACTTCGCAGGGAAATTGGCATTATACGAGCTGATGTCACGGAACGCGCTCCCATGCTGTGACGCGATGTCACAATGTCTTCGAGACGTCGCGTAATGCCGCGAGGTCACGTGACGTCGGATTTCCTGCTAGATGTAGGGGGCAAATTGGCATTATACGACCCAATGTCGCGCAGCACGGTTAAATGACATGACATCACGTAGCGTCAGGTCGAGTGACGTCGATTTACCCGCTAAATTCAGTGGGGAAGTCGATAGATATCTTCTCCACCCTCTGAAACCACTGTTTGAAGTCTTCATAACAAATTTTAAACAATCACTCCTTCAGAATAGCATTTCCTTGAAGTATCTTGTTTATTTACAGATAGGTTTAATGCTGCATTCCATGCGTTGATTTTGGATGTACGAGTCACTGGCCATTTTCTCATGCCGCTTGCTGGTTGCGTGGCAGGGGCAGCATTCACGCGGCTACAGACGCTGCGCCTCAAGCGGGAGTTCCCCCAGCAGCTGCACGACCGCCTGGTGAGCTATGGCAGCTGCCAGTTCCCCACCCTGGGCTTCGTGGTGGAGCGCTACCGCCAAATCCTCAACTTCGTGCCCGAGCCATTCTGGAAGATCCATCGTGAGGACCTTTCGACTGCCCTCCTGTACTCCACGTTTCTGGCTTTGTTTCTTTCTTCTCTTTACTCCCTTCCCTAATTGCTCTTTTAGATGATGCCCCCCTTACTCCCTCCTGGTAGTTCCTTTTATTACTCCCTTTTCTTTGCTCCTAAAAAGATCCACCTTCCAACCGGCCTTTCTATTTCTCATATTTCCTTTGTTTCTTTTTTCTCCTCCTTACTATTTCCTTCCCTAATCGATTTTTTAAATGGTGCCACTTTTACTCCCTCCTTGTTCCTTTTATTGGCATTTTATTACTCCCTTTACTTAGTTCCCTTTTCCTGTTCTTCTCTTTCATTGGTCCTCTTACTTAATCTCTTCTTTTATTTCCCTTTTTACCCTTTCTTGATTTTCCCTTTCATTTGACCTCTAGTTGCTCTCTTTTGTTAAATTCTTATTATGCCCTCTTATTGTACCTCTTTTGCCTCTCCCTTCTTTTAGCCTTCCTTGTAAGGAGTTAATTGCTCCTTGATCCTTATTGTTACCAATCTACTGTGTTACTCACTTTTTGTTTCTTTAGTGTCTTTTTTTTACTCCTTGCTTTTACTCCATTTAATAAGTCATGCTATTACTCCTTACATCTACTCCCATGTCTCTTTGTTACTCCTTACTGCTACTCCCTCTCAGTGTCAATGTTAGTCCTTACTTCTACTCTGTTTCTTTAGTCTTTCTGTTACTCCTTACTGCTACTCTCGTTCATTAACCTCTCTCTTACTCGTTGCTTCTACTGCCTTTCATTAGGATCATTGTTCCTCTTTACGACTACTCCCTTGGATTAGTCTCATTGTTACTTCTTACTGCTACTCTCTTTCTTCACTCTTTTTATTTCTCCTTAGTCCCTTTCATGTCTGTTACTCCTAACTGGTACTCCCTCCTATTCTCTAGTCTCTTTGCTATTCTCTCTCATTAGTTTCACTCTTACTCCCTTTCTTTAGTCTCTTTGTTACTCCTCACTGCCACTCCCTTTTTATTATCCCTCTCCATTTCGTGGTTACCGTCATCCTTCTGCTCCAGTGACGCACAAGAAGGACGACATCTTGGCTGACTTCTCCTGGAAACGGCACCGGCTGTTTGACTACCAGCTCTGCTTCCTTCTTTACCAGCGCTGTCTCCAGGGAGAAGTGAGTGTCATCTGCTTCATCTCCCACCTATTGGTCAGCTCTCTCGTAGTTGCCCGACTGGTTTCCTTCATTGGGTTAGCCACTTCCTTTCAAATTTCAACACGAAATTTGCTCTGTAAAATGCCGCCAATTGACGTGCGGGTGCGTGACAATGCAGCTGCAGACACTTGAAATTGAACCAGAAGGAAGTTCGATCATGAGCCATATGCCTTAATTAAAATGGCATTTGTTGCGTTGAGAGAGCGTGGGCCAGTTTAGAGTCCCTATATACGCCACTCTTCAGGGTACGGACACTTCGACAACCTTGGTAATTAAAATCATTGTCTCCAGTTGTCTGTAGCCTCGTCAGAAGTTGCGGTAAACACTTTTCTATCCTCCAGAAATGTTAAAATGGTCCGCGAAAGAGCGAGGGGATATGGCCTGAGCTTCCCGACGCCGTGTCCAGGGCTCAAAAAGTCACATTTTCTAATCATAACTATTGCCAGTCGTGCCCACTCTGCAATAGGCAGCGAAATGGCGGCGCCCATAATAAGCTGGGGGGCGGAGTGTCAGTGCTCTAAGCTTAGCTTAGTTGGCGACTCTATGTCCAGTCTAGCAAACGCCGTTACTTTTAAATGGGACCCACACTGTAATGCTAGCCAGGGTTGGACTTTCGGCAACAGAGTCGGTGAGATTGCCGGCCACTGCGATTGGTCGACGCCGACCAATCGCGGCAGTTGGCGATCTTGAAGAGTTTCTCGCCGACTGTCCAACTTGGAGCCCCTCGTGTTAGATCGTTCTATCATACTTGTTCGCAAGCATGGTCAAGCACTAGCTAAGACGAGCCAATCTTACACACTCTTTGTTGTGATTGGCTCTTGCGTGCCAATTGGTTGGAATGGCGACATCACTGTCCCTCCGACTTCTCGATGTGCACGTGCAGCCCCCTCGTGCAAAGGTGGTGGAAATGAAGTGTAAGCCCAAGTCCAAGTGGAGGCCGCAGCCCATGGACACAGTGGTGAGTGGTGCGGCACCATTTTATCTCGGCGCGAGCAGTTTGAGTGACGCAGACAAGAAGCGCAGTTTCGGGTTGCCTGCAGAACCAGCCACCGAGGGATTTCTTTAATTAGTCGAGCGAACTTGTCAACGACGTAAACAGCTCCTGTCGGCCTTTCTAGCTACTCAGAACACAGTTTCAAGTTTCCAGGCGAAATCATATGCAGTTGCCCTTTTGTTCTTACGATTGCCCTGGACAATGATTTGAGGCAGACGATTTCTGGTTGGACATAACAAGTTACTAGGCTGCCTTTTTTTATGGTTTATTTGGACCCAGCGATGAAACAGACTACTGCACAGGTTCTTTCAACATTATGAATAGATTTCACTTACAAACCAAACTACTGCTGTGGTCCTTTGCGCATTTTGAATGGTCTCTATCTACACGACAGTCTGCTCAGTGGTCCTTAGAGTAGTGGTTCTCAAATCGGGGTTCGGTCGCCAAAACATTCTAGGAGTCCGCGAAGCCCTGTTTTATCACTCAAGTCCGGATAATAAAAGTTGTCTTTATTTAGATTGGCAAGAATCATTCCAATTTTCGGGTGAGTTTTCTCGTGTGTATGTCAACGAGAAAAGACTACTTCACACTGTCTCTAAGCTATATTCATTTATTAAATCGTTATAATAATTAATCTTCCCCTCACCACGAACGGGATCCTCCATTATCTCCACCGATCCACAAGGGGTCCACGAAAATCAATGGTTGAGAACCACTCCCTTAGAGCATTCCAAATGGATCCCACTGATGAAACAGGCGTCATCAGTGGCCCTCTCAGTGTTTTCAGTGGACCCCATTGACAATATAGACCATAGAGTCTATTGCAGGTTTAGAACGGCGGGGCTAGCGCCTCCCACAAAGCCGTCTGCTCGTCACAGCCGGCGGTGTCCTCTCCAGCGTTCGCTTTGATTCCTTTGTGGCAGACTGTAGTCTTGCGGCATGTTCTTCGGCATTCTGAACGAACCCACCACCGGAAAACCGGCCAACGCAGGAGCTTGAGAAGCTGTCATCCCGCAAGCTGCGCCTGTCGGCGAAAGAGACCATGCAAATAGCGGAGAAGCTGTACACGGATGGACTCATCAGCTACCCCCGCACCGAGACCACCAAATTTCCCCCGGACATGGACCTCAGGCCCCTGGTCGAGGCACAGACGCAGGACCCACGCTGGGGAGGTTGGGGACTGTTTTTCTCTTGAGTTCATGAGGACGAAAGTGTGGCAGTATTAGTACAGTGTCAAAATTTGTAAGTCACTTGCCGCATTTTTTTTTTTTAGTGGCATAATGCTTTTGTGACACTTTTTTAGGGAGTCTAGTGATGGGGAAAGTCGGTCTCAAATATCAGAAATATTAAAAATTTGAGATTTCTGATATTTGGAGTTTGCGTGGTGGGTGTCACCAAACATGGCATGAACAAAAACTTAAAAAATGGAATGTGCCGTTCTGGCGCACTCAACGTTTTTCTTCTCTTCAAATATTGTTTTTTGTAAAATCTTTTTTGATTATGTTCCCTACACATGTTGAGGAGTAAAAAAAAAAGATCTTATCTGAACAGGGCCAGCCTTTTAGTTGCATATATAAGTACTGGGCATGGCAACAAGATGTTGATCGATGGTGGACAGTATGGAGGGGAGCGCTTTGATTGGTCATTTTAGGTATGAAATAAAAATGTAAACCAAAGAGTATATTCCTCTAAAATAATGTTAGAATAATCTTGATCACACCAATTGATGTTCCATTCAAGTTCTAAAGGTGGTAATAAAACAAAAACTTTATCTCAAATAAGAAACAAAACTTTATCATTAAATTATGAAAACCAATGACATTTTGCATGTAGAACCTTGTAATGTTGGAGATTGGCATGTGAACGATAAGTGTGCCTTCTTAAAATAATCCAGTCAAAGTTGTTAAGGTTATTCACAAGCTTCCTTCTACTGCTTAACATAATTGAGTTTTAATTTATTCTATTGATAGTGCCTCGAACGGAAAAATAACAACTACCTATACTCCGTTTCACATTACGTCCGGACGCAGCGGATGCTACGAGGCATCGGAGCCAATCCAAGGCTGTGTTAGCGTCACGTGACGTTGGAGGGGGGCACAGTTACGCGAGGAAAGCGTATCACGGACTTCGTCCACAGAGCGGGATTGGCAAGGATAGCTCAAAGCATCCGCTTCCTGTGGATGCAAGGTGAAACAGGGTATAAACAAAGGAGGTAAAAAAACAAGAAAAACCTATAAATCAGTTTATATAAATTTTCTTGCCAGTAGCCTGGCTAAATGCACGAGATATTTAGCGAGATATCGAGAAAATACCGCAGTGTATTATAAAAAATAAGCTCAGTTTCATTCAGAAACTTTTACTGTAACTAAGAGCTGGTAAATTAACACTTACCCCCCAAGAAGTGTTATTTCTTGCCAGGGGATCAATTATGGTGTCGGAAGACTACCCAATCAATATTTTGCTACAGCGTCACGCATATTTTTAATAAAGTAAAAAAATGCAACCGCTCGAAGCTTAAACCGATCTGGGGAGGAAGGAGAAATTTAGAGGAAAAGATGTTACCAAAAGTCAGGTGGCTGTGCAGCTATTTTTTTTTTCTTTCAATCAACGTATTTGCAATGTTTTAGAAGCCACAAAAAATGGGTGTCTTATTTTCAGTCTATTTTTAGTATCGAGTGTGTGTCTTCGATGACCCACGACTTTTATTATCTTTGGTGGTTGTGTCTAAACCATAGAAAACGATAAGTAACGACAGAGAAGAGAGTGAGCGCGACTGAAAATGGCCAGTTCTCGATTGGCGGTTTTTGGACGGAAACAAAAACAAATTCTGAGCCGTGAATTGTGTTCTGGATAGTTGGGCTCTTGTATGTCACGTACAAATAAAAACCTTGGCGAGCATAAATGCACTGTCAGTGTCCCTTTAGCGTCCCACTCTGAGGTGACGCTTTCCCTTTAGCACCCAAATGCACTGCGGCGAAGCAAAATAAGCAAACTTGCTATGCTTACCTCGCGGTCGCCACTTCACTGCAGTACGCAAGAGCGGGGTGACGAGCGCACTCAGCAAAGCTAACTTACACGCCAGGGCAGACTAGGAGCACAAGAGATATTGAAACATTCCGAGTATTGTCATTGTTTGACACCGACAGCGAGATTGTATGGGATAGTACGTCATTTGCGACTAAAATCGTAAGTTCTGAAAATTCGCACAAGCCTACCATAACGATTTGGACTGTTGCGGAGCCTGAGCCTTTATATTTTCAGTATTATAATGAAGTGAAATAAAGTTTTGTCGAAATTTTGGTGCAAGCTCCTCACATTTGGGCTAAATGTAGCAGGATGTAGCCTTTGGTGCGATTCGGAGCAAGTGGTGCAGCAATCACATCGCTGGGTTATGGAATTATTGGACAACTTCGGGAAGTGCAAAGATGTCGGGTAAGTTTAGGGAGCTCAAAAAGGTGAAGAATTTTAGGGAGCCTGAAAATGCGATGGAACTACAAAAGGGCCAGAAAGGTTTAGGGAGCCTTAAACGGTTGTGAGAAGATTAAGGAGCCTGGGAAAGTTAAGGTAATTGTTGGAGAGTCTTAAGGACACATGCAAAGGAAAAAAACATTTTTTTTTAAACGGCTTAGATGGAAAAAGGACGCCATAAAACGATTTTACAACGAAGAAAAAAAATTTTTAGAGCTATATTTACGGCGCAAAACGAGTTTGTAGTTGGCGCCCGCGGGCACCGCGGAAAAGTGGTCCGTATTTATCATGTGACTGGTCTTTATTTATCACGTGGTGCTTGCGTTCTTTTGGAAGCTTCCTATGGCCTCTAAAAGTAACTTATTCATCTTTGTTTGAAGTATAACAAAAAACTAAGATGAATAAGTAACTTTTAGAGCCCAAAGGAAACTCCTGAAAAAGCGCAAGCAGACGTGATAGACCTGTGCGCCGGTCAGACGACGGCGGCGGCGCCCCGAAGCAGACGAACTTGTGCGGCGGCGGCGACGGCGGCGTTGAAGCGGCGTTTGCACAACGCTCAGCGTGCGGCAGCGACGCAGCGCGGCGGCGCGCGGGCCTACCACGTGACCAGCGGCGGCTCCCTCGAGCGCCAACTACAAATTCGTATAGCGCCGTAAATATAGCTCTAAAAATTTTTTTTCTTCGTTGTAAAATCGTTTTATGACATACTTTTTCCATCTAAGCTGTCTAAACAAAATGTTTTTTTCCTTTGCATGTGTCCTTTACCCGGGTACGTCTGCCAATTGTCAGGAAGTCGTACGACATGTGGAATGGTCAGGCGACTCAGACATTTGAGGAGAAAGTATATTCAGTTGGGGAAAGTAGGAAAAAGCCGCTTCCAGCGTCCTCACTTCTGCTTTGTCGTCTGCACCCGCAGACTTTGCGAGGCGTCTCCTGGCAGACGGCTTGACGCCCCGGCAAGGCACAAAGTCCGATCAGGCCCACCCACCGATACACCCCATCAAGCACGCCGCCGGCCTCGAGGTGTCGTAACTTTTCTCACGCTTCCATTTTCTCTTAGTTTATTTTAAAATGTGGGGAGTTGGTAGGCAGGAAGGTTGACCAAAAATGTAGGTATAGTACTATTTATTTACATACATACCGAGCAGCGATGTGAGAATATGCGTAAAAGATTTTTGGTGTGGACACTTTCTCGGCGTCTGAGTGGCTCAATACGTAACGAAAGGTTAGGAAGGGCGCTTTTGATGGACAGTTGTGGTACGGCCACTACGTACTTCGCCAAACGTGTTCGTAAACAGTATTGTCGTTAAATGTTTGCCTGGCGATAGCACGGTCTTTCATCTTGTCTCGATGACATGCATGCGCGACAACCTCACTGTCACATTAGCTATTTTGTTGCATGTCTAATACACAAATAGGTAAACCAACAGCACAAAAATGTGCAAAAGTAATTGCAGTGATGCGATTGACCCAGGTCATTTTGTGGCATCTTTCGGAACAGCCAAAAGTCAATTATGGAGCAGCAAGAAGTACTTTTGGAGCACAGGCACACACTTCATTTTTATTCGTACCACTGTGAATAATATACATGTGAAGATTTGTGTGTTGGCCTATCCAACTAAAAAAACGTGGATGCTTTGCCTTCTCACTTCTGTGCAACGCGTGGAAGCATTAGGCATGGCAACAACATGCTGGTCGATGAGGGACAGTAGGGGCTGCCGTGAATGACCATTTTAGGTACAAAATAAAATGTAACTAAAATAATGTTAGAATAATCTTGAGCACACAAATTGGTGTTTCATTCAATTTCCAAAGAATCTAATTAAACAAAAATGCTTAATTCAAATTAAAAAAAAAAAATCTTTTGTCATTAACTTATGAGAATTAATTACATTTTGTATGTAGAACCTCATGATAAGAGAGATCAGCATGTGAATGCATGCTGATCTCTGCCAAAGTTGTTCAGGTTATTCCCACGTTTAATTCTGCTGCTTCATCTAATTTAGTTTTAGTTTATTCTATTGACTGTACCTCGAACGGATAAAACATAGATAAAGGTGACGACTAAACGATGGAGTTCAAATAAAAATAAACCTATACAGCAGTTTATATACATTTTCTCGGGAGTACCCTCACTAAATCATGAATTTGAAAAAGGTATCGCTAGAATACCGCCGTTCATCATAAATAATAGCCACAGTATAATTCAGAAACTTTTACTCCAACTAAGGGTTCCTTCTTTTCAATATACCCGACGCTTGCGTGTTTAAAGTCCCGCTCTGGAAGAATGCCCTTTAGCGCTTGGATGCACTGCGAAACAAAATAAGCGAAATTGTGATGTTTACTTTGCGGTTACCGCTTCACTGCAGTACACAAGGGTGCGGTGAGAAGGGCACGCTACAAAGCTAACTTACAGGCCAGAGCAAGAGATATCGCGGAAATTCCGAGTACCGTCAGTGTTCGACACTGATAGAAAGATCAGATAGTATGTTATTTGCATCAAAAATCTGAAGTTCTAAAAATTAGTGCAAGCCTACCATAACGATCTGGATGTGTAGTGGGGCCTCAGCCATTATAATTTTAGTATTTAATGAAGCAAAATCAAGTTTTGGTGCAATTTTGGCATAAGTTCCTCACATGTGGGCTACATTTTGGTTAAATATAGCAGGATATAGCAAAGTAAGCCCTTGGTGCAGTTTGGCGCAGCAATTGCATCGCTGTAATCAACATGTTTGTTTAAAAAATACATACCGGATGATGGAGGTATAATATAACCAACCTGTACAATAGTGGGCACATAAGAGAAACCCTTTTTAGTAACATTTTCCCCCTGCAGATACCAACAATTTAATAGCAAACTCACAATACGATAAACAAATACTTTCAAAACTTGAGGCACGTTGCAAGCAAGCTGCAATGTTTATGCAGTGTTAGAACTTATTTCGTACTGTTCCTCAACAGACTTGGCAACATTCTTAAAACAAAACAGGCCAAGAGGGCTGCTGTAATTTTTTTTCACGAACATAAAATAGACGAGGAAAGACAGCAACTTTTTCGAAGTGCCCGTCAAGTTCACAGAGAGTAGGAAGAATGCTTCGAAAGCTCGAGCACACAAACATCCAAACAAAATCACCAAGCTCCGTCAGCGTGTCACGGGTCACGCTTCGTCAGTCGATGCTCCAAAGTCTGCCGCCGGCCTCACCGCTTCCTTGCGAGCGCACTCGCCAGTTTACGCCGCTTCACCACCCCCTGCCTTATCTCCTCGACCTCCACCAAATCGTCGCCATCGTCATTGTCCAGGCTCCGTCTGTACACCTTAAACTCCTCGAGCAGGTCGTCCCACATGATGCATGCGTTGTGAAGCACGCAAGCCATGATGATGATGGTGACCACCAAGTCCCTCCTCCCGGTCTCTAACCCCTGGAGCCTCCGGAAGCGTCCCTTGAGCAGCGCCAACGCGCGCTCGATTGTCTCGCACCCGTCGAAGATCTTCTCGTTGAAGCTCGCCTCTTCTTCACCCAGCTCTCCGTCGTCCTCGAACGGTACCATGAGGTGCGGACCGATCGGAAACGTAGCGTCTCCGACCATGTGGCTGTCAAACGGGAACTTGGAGGCTTCGAGGCTCTGGATGAACAGCGAGCGCCGGAAGACGAGCATGTCGCTGGTGGAGCCGGGGTGTCCAGCGCTGCAGTCCAGGAAGACCATCCTGTGGTCGCAGACGGCCTGCAGCACGACGGAGTGGAAGTCGAGCCTGTTGCGGAAGCGCTCCGAGTCGTCCACGGGACAACGGATTGGGATGTGGCTTCGGCCGATGGCCCCAATGACGCCTGGGAAGCCGGAGCGCGCCTCGAAGCCGGCGATGATCGACTTGGCCGCTTCTGGGTCGGGCCACTTGATGAAGTCTGGAGACGCGTCCACCACGGCCGCGCCGACCCGGCCGACGCACTCGAAGACGGTGGATTTGGACAGCTCGAACCGGTCGGCTATGGCCCTGCAGAGAAAGCGATGGATGCATGTTGAACGGGTGGAATGAGAAGCAACTGGAGCACACTGTGGCAACCTGCACTTTTTTGGTACACCCTGTGAATCTTCTATTTGATTCCTAAAGCTTGTCTCAACTGCCAATAGAGCTACTGGACAAAAGCTAACCATCCATAGCATGCAGCTTGTCTGTGCACTAGACCCGTTGCACGCCCAAAGCAGTACCTGAAAGACTCTCTGTTGCCGAGGCACCACAGAGCCACCATCGTCTGCTTGAGAGGATCCACCATTGGTCGACCTGGGGCAACCTTCTGGCTGGCGATCCGAGGGTGGACCATGTTGAGGATCTTGGCTACGGTCTCCCTCGACAGACGGAAGTGGAACTTGAAGTCACTCGGGGACATGCAAGGGATGATGTCCTCGAAGAAGTCTTTGCGCTTGGGCCTTTCGCTGCAGACAACCAACCATAACAATCAGTGGGACGGGGCCAACGTTCAACTACGTTGTCTGGAATGCGGCTCCGACGGGTGTGTTTAGCGTCTTATTCCACCCATGCATCAAAGGTGGCCCCAAGGGCGCAGCAAATGACATCACAAAATCCAGGGTGTCATGGTGCCGGATGTTGCAATCCTGGCAGTTGGGCGTAGAAATTATGGAGAGAAAAGAAGCAAGAGAGAATGCAAGTCCCAACTTTTGGCTGCCAAACCTTTTGAGGACTGTCAAGCTAAAGTGACCCACAGGAGAACAGGCGTTTCCCACATCTGTCGCAGCTGCTGCTGCCAGGATTGCGACTGGCGACTGCATGACACTCCTACGACGTCATCGAGTGGAAATCGAGGGACCACTTTTTTTGGGTGCAGTACACACAACAGTCGGAAATGTTCAGTAGCTCTCTTCGGCGGAATATCAGACGCTGCGCAAGCGTCCATGACCCGGCGACTCGTCATTCTCGCCCGAGTGATAAGCGCTGGAAGGGTGTTTTGGGTGCTCACATTGCAATCTCCTAAACTCCCACATTAGGAAACAGAGTCCCTTGAGCAATATTTAAGGAAGTTCTTGCTAAAACAAGGCACGATGGTGTAATGGAGGTTTACGTGGCTTTGAAACGATGAGCACCAGAAATCACAAGGACAGAGTGGGAAGACACTCCAAAGCATGTGCGGTGTACTGTCGTTTTTGTCTTTCTGTTTTTGCGCTTATCTTGCGACTCGTCGCTCCACCTCAAGTGCGAGCTTCGCTCGCTTACAGGCGACTCGCTGCATCACCCACCGAATGGTATTGCGGTGTCTGCGTTCTGCCCCCCCTTTGATGACGATTTCTTTTCGCCCCCGAAAGGCCCATGCTCAAGGCCTGCTCCAGTGGACCAGTACCAGTCCAGCTCCTATCTCCAACAGCCCGTTCCAAACACCGAACCAGCCAGCACTAATGCTGATCGTGCCACCTGCCCTTGCTGGGGACAAACCAACAGCCCCCAGTATTACGGAAAAAAAAGGAGAACAACATACATCTAATTATCTCCCTCAAATCTGTCAAAAAATGCTGGAGTTCTGGGTGCTTGCAGGGTCCCGCCCTAACACCATATTCGCCTTATGCGAGAGACTTGGCTGGAAAATTCTATTGAAGACAGCCAACTCATCGACCTAGCACGGTTCAAAGTCCACCGGCAAGATCGTAACAGGTCTGGTGGTGGAGTTCCTACCGCCATACCGTCATCAATTACATGCACCAGAAGACACGACCTGGACTGGGATGACTTCGAGGTCATTTTTGTGGACCTTCATGCAAAACAGAGGCTTCTACATATCTGTGTCCCATACTGCAACAGCAAAACAGAAAGCTACAATTTGCTACACTCGTCACTATCCTGTTACCCTCCCAACAAATAAATACTCCAACGCGGTGGTGGTCGGAGACTTCAATGTGCACATTAACTGGTCAGGTGCAAGCGCTCCCATTCCCATGCCCATTGGACCATCTGACACTCTCCTCCTCGACCACATGGAAACACTCGGACTTACTTAAGTGTGCAGCGAACCAAGCTACAGCACCAGCAATAATCGAGCTTCTTTCCTTGACCTCCATGTTCGTCTCTAATCCCACACTCATCTGAAATTGTTTCACGGAACCCAGCCTCACGGGCTCTGACCACAAAGCATTAACTACGACCACATACCATCATTTGCCTAAATCCGGACCCCATGCCAGACGCCTCCATAACTTTGCAAGTTTTAGATACCAACCACATCAACTCACTTATATACCTTGCCCCTTGGGCATGGTGTTCTAAAACAACCACGAAGACACGTACGACATATGGCTCGATTTCAAGCCTGCCACCGAAGCAGAGTGCTTCCCTTCCAGAAAAAGACGAAACACTCCAAGCACACATGGATAACGAAGGAGATACTGCTCTAGGCCTGACAAAAGCGTCAGCTGTTCGCACAGGCAAAATGAACCAACTGCCCCGTTACACTTTAGGCAGCCGGCACCCTACAGAGAGAGACCAGAAGAAACGCATCAGACAGATGCACTGGGACTACACGTTGGACATGGCACAGTGGGCCATAAGAGATCCAAAGATATTTTGGGCCTGTGCAAGACGCAACAAGCAGAACATGTCTGCTCTAAACATATGCCTCTAGGCGACCTGGAAACTGCAGAACATTTTAGCAAACACTTTGCTGCAGCTTGGACACCACCCAGCAGCCCCTCGTCGCAACCAGAAACCTACCTATCATCACCACAGCTGGCCTACGCTCCCTGTTTAATCAGTATCCCCATCACCCAGGACAATGTCAAAGAGGCTCTCACCCGACTAAATCCGACGGCATCCACCCTGTGTTCTTTAAAGCGAGTGACCAAAAACTGGCTCCATTACTGACTTGACTGTTCCAGCAGCTCCTGGAGACTGGGTGCGTCCCTGCCCTATGGAAGCCGACCTACGTCACTCCAATCTATAAAGGAAATGGTTCCTCAGCGGACAAACCAGAATCCTACAGACCAATCTCCACAACCTCAGTCGTCTGCTGTACAATGGAACAGGTTCTAATACCATGCCCTACACATATACTTAAAGGAACACACTCTTCTGTCTCGGCGCAACGTGGCTTTTGCCACGGTTGAAGTTGCGGAACTGCCCTGATCACTGCTGTTTACCAGATCAGTGACAGCCTGGACAACTCTGCACCGTGCCAACTGGTACAGCTCGACTTCACCAAACTGGAGAGCACCGGTATCAGGGGTCCCTACTTTGCTGGCTATCTAACTTCATCCTGCACAGACAGCAAAATGTGATGTTTCAATGGGTCAAGGTCCCAACCTCGAACTGCTCAATCCGGAGTCCACCAAGGCAGTGCAGTATTTGGCCCGAGCCTCTTCTCAATTTTTATCAATGGCATTGTCCAGGTTATAGACTACCGCCATCATGTATGCAGATGACCCCACCCTCTTTCAGCCAATTCAATCTCAGGAAGAATATAACCAACTGCAACAGGACCTTGATCAGATCCAAGCCTGGACCACCTGCACAGAATCTACCAGTACAAACTGCGTCCAGCGGCAAGCAGCTTACGACATGTACTGCCGTACCTTCTAAGCTCACCTTTTGCCGCATGACGTACCGACAACCCAGCTCTTGAGAGCAGCCAAGTGGGTCACACTGCCCCACCGGCAAGGTGTAGCCACCTAACGGTTGCTGGCTCAAGCAGGGGCGGATTTAGAGGGGGGGTCCGGATGTACTGACCCCCTCTTGATTTCTGCATGTGTAAAAATTTAGGGCGTGGAAACGGCGGAGAGGGGGGGGGGGGTCCTAAACATATGGTACGCTGACCAACACCTGACCCCCCCCTGGAAATTCCTGCATCTGCCCCTGGGCTCAAGTGATTGGCCTTGGGGTCCCACAGGATGACTATCTTCGCTCTGTACCCTAGTGCAACAGACGGACCGGAAGCATCGACCCTCTCTTCGCGCGGGCTCAACGGCACAACAACTCGTTTCTCCTCCGAGGTGTGAGACTTCGGAGGTCTCTGCCTGATGCCATCACCAGCCTGCCCCTCACAAATAGGAACGAGGTGACACAGCTCTGCAAGGCAGCGGCCAAACACCTCTAAACTAGCACCCACAAATGTCTCGCATACCTCATCAGACTTCACCTACCTCACCTATCACCCTCTTCACCATCCCATCATCATCAACATTCCGCACACATCAAGCCAACAAGCTTCACATTGCCATCATCGTCTACTTCAACCGGCTACATAGGCACGTGTGCACGGGCGGCAACGTCTTCCATGTGGCCTGTCCCTCAGCACACAAATAAACATTTAACTTTCAAAGTGGGCGCAATGTTCCCCCCAATTAGGGGGCTGAGGGGCTATAAAGAATGCGGAGTCCAGAGCGTCGTCTGACGGCCCTTGCGAAGCGTTCAAGTGCCGTCCGACACTTCTTCTCGCCCTTATTCGAGTGCCGTCCTACGATCAAATGCCATCCTTTAGTGAAGAATGTCTCGCTTTTGGCACTTAGTGGCCGAAATTAGTATGTCCACTTTCGCTGTACCTTTTCTTGTGTGCCTTAAATTTGCTAATTATGTGCAAACTCAGATTCCATCAAACATTCTCCCTAACAAATAATATTTGAAAACCAAAGAATGACGTCCCTGACTCATTTCTGTAGCTACAAAAAAGTTTTGTGATTTAAACATACATAAGAAAGCATGCTGCTCCCCCCTTTAGCGCGTTTGTCTCGCTCGCGCTCTGTATTAAAACAAATTGTCGGCAAGCGGCAGATGGAACCATGACAGAAGAAGCAATTGACCGCGCACGCCGGTACGATGCTCATCAAGACCGATGTGATTTAGACATACATAAGAAAGCATGCTGCTCCCCCCTTTAGCGCGTTTGTCTCGCTCGCGCGCTGTCTTAAAACAAATTGTCGGCAAGCGGCAGATGGAACCATGACAGAACAAGCAATTGACCGCGCACGCCGGTACGATGCTCATCAAGACCGAGACGGGCAAAAGTGCGGCCTGTTGACTTAATGCGCAAAGCGTAATCGGCGGCACTGGTGCTGGCGTTATCGCTGTATCTAAAAACCTCCGAAAAGAAAAGAAAAAAAGAAATTGTTAGACGAGTCGTGTTATCGGCGGTCGCTTATTAGAGCTTTGGAAAGCCCGTGATAGTTGACGCGGGTGACTCTTTCAACGGTCATCGACTCGTCGTCTGCTAACGCCGATCTCTAGGGTTGCGATCGTCGTCATGGCGGTGTGACTCCGCCTCGACGCGTCTGCGCCATTTTTCGGCCATTGCTCGTGGCGACCGTGGGGTAGTAGGGTTAGCGGGGGTTACGCGGGGGTTCTCGATTCAAGGAAATGAAAGGTTTGAGAACGCGACGCGTGGAATCGTAGCTCACTCGGGTTCGTCGTCGAGGAATTCGAGGATGAGGTCATCGTCGCTGTCGTCGTCGAATAATTCGAGCAGAATCCGACCGGCGCAGGCGAGGAAGGGTCGCGGACCTGGCGGACCCGCCATGACAGCGTCGTGGCGTCGTCGTGGTCGAATAATCGGCGGGGAGACGACTCGTGTGGTCACGTGATGCGGCGCCGTTGCCGTGACGTCATCGCTGGGAGGATCGCCGAACGGTGTGATGCCGTGAAGTTCGCTTTACGCTCGTTATTTACATAACTCTATGGTTATTTAGGCTGGTTTATTATTATTGTTTGTAATAATACAAATTACAAACCTTTGACGACCTTGTGTTGTGCGCTAGAAATGCCCCTCCTTTGCAAATGAATTATATCATTATTATTATTATTAGTAGTAGTAGTAGTAGTATTGTTATACATTCCTTGAAATATTACGTTTTGATGTGTGATTTCGCTTTGGTCACTATTTAGTTTTTTTATTTCTGCTTGTGTCTTGAACTCTGGCTTTAAAAAAAAAGTGTATTATTGTGCTTATTAGTTGTACAAGCTACTCTTACTTTGTTCATTAGAGCCTTTATTTATTTATTTTGTTTCTTGTCATACTTTGTTGCTTTTTGTATCTTTTTTAGTTCATTATGCAAATTGTGAAAAAATCAATATAAAATTTGTGGCAAAAGCAAAAGGCTCGATCTAAAATCAACCGTAAAAATCGACATCTGCACGTAGCAACCTAAACTTTTCGTCAAAGGTGTATTTCACAGGTCGGTTTTTTCTTGTAAAATTAAGGCCCATTCACACTCCTGCGACCTCTTAAAACTGGGTTCCTTGAAACCTCTTACAATGAGAGGATACACTGGCGCCATCTATTGGGTAGCAGTGTAAACTTGGTGGTCCGGCATATTTTCTATTTCTCTCGAGCATTATCCTTTCTTTCTTGGCTCGAAAAACTTTTGTCAACGTTACAAACGAGCCTTTCTTATAGGTATTACGCACGTTTGACCTAGGAAATACCGCAAAACCTTCGCTCTTGTGAAATGCAGTTCCAGGGTCACCGCATAGATGGCGCCAACGTGCCAGTGTGTTCTCTCGTCCTAAGAAATTTTAAGAGGTTTTAATGAGTCCCGTCTCTCTCGGTCGTGCTCGGTTGCAAGAGTGTGAACGGGACTTTACAAAGCGTAGCTCTCTTTCTGTAAAAAATAGGGCCAATAAACTTGCCAGAGCCTACGGCGGGCGGCGACGGAGGCGACCAAGTCGAGTTGCGGGGTGCGTATGGCGTGCATATTGATAGATGGCGTCGGGAGCAGCGTCCGAAGGTCTAGCTGACCAGCGAAAGAAAGCAGACGACACGCAGACGAAATCTGTTCGCAGCAAAAGCGCCGTCTTTATGCGGACACATTTTTTTTACTTTAAGCTTCGCTTTTATTGTCCGCATTTATATTTTATCTAAAGGTACATTTAAAGAAGATTACGTTCATTTTAATAAACAACGGTGGTCGCAAGTCGTCGCGTTGGGGAGGTAGCGCCATCTATCAATACGAACGCCAAACACACCCCGCTACTGGACTTGGTCGTCTGAGTCGTTGCCCGCCGTAGACCCTGGCAAGTTTCTTGGCCTTATTTTTTACAGAAAGGGAGATACACTTTGTAGTTTTACAGGAAAAAAGCGACCTGTGAAATACACCTTTGACGAAAAGTTTAGATGGCTACGTGCAGGCGTCGATTTTTATGGTCCATCTTAGATTGAGCCGGGTGACTTGGGTAATCCTATATACATTCATTCGAAAATTTATGACACAATCTAAAAAAATATGGCATTTATTTTATATTTATATTATTTCAAATATTTGTGGCCCAATTTATAGAAAGGCATGTTGCATTTATTTTAAAGGTTAATCAATCTTAAAATTCGTGGCACAATTAGAAAAACATATATCTTAAAAAATGTATTGCTTTTAAAATTCGCAGCAGAATTTTAATGAAATGTGACATTTCTTTTTTAAAATTTATGAAATCTACAATTTGGCCACAGCTAAAAAAGAAAAACAAATGTGGCATTGATTGTGCATAGATTTTAAGTTGCCACTTCATTGTTAGGGCTAGTTTAACTCTGGTTCAAGTCAACCGCGGACGGCTTTCTTGTTGCAGGGGAACGCCAAGCGTGTCTACGAACTGGTGGTGCGCCACTTCCTGGCGTGCCTCTCCAAGGACGCCGAGGGAAAAGAGACGACCGTCGAGGTCGACCTCAACGACGAGCGCGTGAGTGGCAAAGCGCCGCACTGGAGTTGCTCCTCTACATCACCAGGAAAACGATGCAACCTTCGCGTGAACTCGTCTGCCATGCAAAACCTGCAAAAGCCTGAAGAAACGTTATGGCGACGTCTGCAAAAAAAAAAAAAAAGAATGAAAGACGGAATTAGGTCTATCGTCATCTGTTAACGTTTGCTGTCTGCTTTTGACCACAGCGGGTTTGGTAGCGGCGCAAATGTCTCAGGTTATGTGAAGGGGGTTTTATTGTAAATTTTTGATGCTACAGCGCTTTCTTTGTACATAGGCAATCCTGTTTCCTAAGTGATTATTATTTTCTTCTCACCTTCTTTATTTCCCAGTTTGTGGCCACCGGTTTGATCATCTTTGCGCGCAACTACCTGGACGTCTATCCCTACGACAAGTGGAGCGCAAAGGTAAGCCCAAAGTGTTCGGAGTCGGAGCCATCTTGCAGCACCCTGTGGCACTTGGGACGATCCTCCCATTCGACTTTCATTTGCAGGAAATTCCCAACTACGAGATGAACGAGACCTTCGTGCCCGACCAAGTCAAGGTGAGGAACGTGACACCGCCGCAATGCGTCTTGTGACGAACTGTCACGCCTGCATGGGTCCAGGCATGTAGCCTGTTTATCTGAACGTATCGTTTGGCCGAGGCTTGTCAGAATTCGGTTATAGAGTCTGGAAATGGCAACGTGTAATATCTTGTCTCTGTCGTCACCTCTCCGATGACGTTGCATTCAAATCTTTAATTTAGTCGTTTTTCCTGCGTCTACGTTTCTGGCGATCGCAGCTCGTCGACGGCGAAACGTCTCCTCCGCCGTTGCTCAAGGAGGCGGACCTCATTGCCCTCATGGAGAAGCACGGCATTGGTGGGTACCGTCCGGGACACTCTAAGCAGTTCCAGAAGGGACGTTAGTCACTCATTTTAGCAGTTGAGTTAGTCAGGGAACATGGCGTTTATGCGAGGCAGGCCGTACTCAAAACTTGCTGGTCTCTAGATCTGTTTGTTACAGTAATGGAGATACTTTTACGGTAATTTTGTGGTAAAGTGATTCTTCTATAGTAGTGTCACGTTAAAATGGCTCTTTTACAATCATCTTACGATAAAATAGATTTTTTACAGTAATGTTTTGCGGAAAGGTGGAATTTTCGTGGCAATTTTATGGTAAAACAACCTTTTTATTTCAATTCACTTTACAGTGAAATTATTTTAGGATTTAGCATGGCTGCAATAGTCATTACTGCTGATTTAACGGTCGGTAATTGTATGGTGAGAACTACAATATTTTTATAGAAGGTTTGCGGTAGTTTCATGCCATATTACCGCTGCTTGGTGGTTATGTATTACGATTCATCTTTTTCTGTAGGACTGCAGTATCCTCCTGGTTAATTTAGGGTCCTTTTGACGAAATATTACAGTAGTTCCAGGAAGGTTACGACGTTAAGGCCCGTTCACATGCCTGCGTTTGCTTACGACCGAGCTCTTGCAATCTCTTACGAGGAGAGAGCACACTGGCATGCTAGCGCCATCTGGGAGGTGACCTTGGAACTGCATTTCACTAGAGCGACAGTTTTGCGGCATTTGCGAAATCAAAGGTAGGTACCATCAATGAGAAACGGTAAATCAAACATTACCAAAAGTTTTTCGAGCCAGAAAACAAATAATGATGCGCGAAAAATAAAAATAAATTGAGAATGTACAGAAACTGAAAGTGTTAGAGGCTTCCCGACAGATGGTGCCAGTGCCTCATCACGAGAGATTTCGGCAGGTTTTGGGGCACGCAGTCGTAAACGGTCGCAAGTTTGTGAAGCGGATTTGAGATTTACAATAATATTTTCAGTAGTTTGTGCAAGCCTGACTCATCGATTGGTTTGACAGGCACGGATGCCACGCACGCGGACCACATCGAGACGGTGAAGAACCGACTGTACGTGGCGCTCACTGGCGACGGATATCTCGTGCCGGGAGAACTGGGGATGGGATTGGTCGAAGGTGGGTGCCTTGTCTTTGAAGGGACATTGAAGGATTAAGGTCGGGATTAAAATTGGGATTAAGAAAAGGTGTTAATATAGAGATGAAGTATTATTATTGAGATTAGGAATTTGGGTTGGTATTAATTCAGAATGGGAACAAGATTAAGGATCACTATAGATATTAAGGGTAAGTATTAAGACGGGGATCGAGATTGAGTATTATGATGAGATTAAGATTGAGCACAAATATGGCAACAAGATTAAGAATTGCTATCGATATTAAGGGTAAGTATTAAGACGGGGATTGAGATTGAGTATTATGATTGGGATTAAGATTGAGTATGAATATCGAGATTAAGGATTAAGGTCAGGATAAAGATTTCAGATCACACCGAATTTCTCGCCGAGTGTGCGATTTCCCCGGATCAGGGGGTTTCAATCTCCTTGTACGTATTTGGTTTGTCCGGTGGTCTCTAGGTTACGACTCGATGGGCCTAGAGATGTCGAAGCCCCGACTGAGGGCAGAGCTGGAGGCAGACCTAAAGAAGTGAGTCGAAAGTGCTAAACTCTCGCGCAAACTTTCATGGGAGTCACTCGCAAAAACAGCGAGAGTTCTCGTGCGACCTCTCGAGCGATTTTTATCACTCACGCCTCCTCTCGTCTTTCTCCCCCTCAGGATATGCGAAGGCACGAAGAACCCCAAAGGTAAGAAATGGTTGTGGCGTTCTGTTTTACAAGCTGTAGGCCGCCGTTTGCTACTGGCCTACCAATCTTGTGCCGTGAGCGTCCGTTTGTTTGTCGTCTTTGTTGGTTCAAGCTGTCAATGACCTCCGGTGATCTGTCTGTCACGTGTCTTCAGCGCAGTGTCGGTTACAATTAATGTCTGAATTGAAGAGGTTAAGTTGCACGCTATCATAAATGAATGTAGGGTCACCGTTTCACTGCTGCAATCAGTTGGGTTCAGCTCCGATGATAACATCTAACGGTGGATGTCTAAACACGGCTAGAACTGGCATTCGAGGTTTATCAGTAAAACCTTATTTTGTCCCATAAACGAGCCCTGAATACATGCTTATTCTTATTTTTAAATACTGGTAAACTGTTCTTAGAGTTTTAGGTAGGAGTGGTTAGTTTGTGGCATAATGGCTAAAAAAAAAAAAAAAAAACATTTTTTTTTTGTTGTTGCACAACGGACAATGTAACAGAAAATACCATAAACCAATTCCATTAGTAGTAAAAGGATATAGGGCTACAAGAAAACAGAAAAAGAAGCCTTTTGTTACATTTGTTAGACAGTTTTGAGACGTGTTGTAGCCAGTTTTTTATCCCCGAATTTGTCTTGGGTCACGATAAACTAGATTTTCTTTCAACTTTTTCAGAAAAAAATAGAAAGTGCTTTTAATTTTATTGTTAAATTACATGAATCCAACAGTGTTCCTTCCTATTCAGTGATAGCAATTTGAATGGCATGGTAGTGCCATCTTCCTGGCTGTTATTGGTAACGCTTATTTGAAAAGTGTGCCGAAAGAGATGTCAAGCTTTTTGCGGGACTCAAGATAAACGCTAAGTGAGTTAACGAATGAATTGCCTGATTGCAGACGTACTGAGGCGTCAGATCGAGCTCTACGAGGACGTCTTCTCAAACTCTGAACGACAGGTGACTAATATCTTTTTTCTTAATATTTTTTAAGATGCTGGCGTCTTTATCTACCTTGAACGAACAAATGTGTTGTATTTTCCGCAGCCGGTGTATAGTCTGTATTTGGTGCTTAGTCGACAGAAAAATCTTCTCATTCACGGCACACCTTGACAAATGTCTGCTTTCTTAGCTCACAAAAGAAGCTTGTATTATACATAGATCATCATTAACATAGTACTCTTTCATTCTCAAAATCCGTCACGTCTCGTCATAATGAATGAACTTGCACGCGTAGATAGTGCGCACAGCCTAAAATTTCAACTTTTAAATATGTAATGTCTGCGGACTATAGCCCAAAACATACGGTAGCTCGAAGGATACCCGCCATATTTTTTGCAGCGAAGAGAATATGCCAAGTGGTGTAAATTTACTCCCTTCAAGGGAGTGTAAACTTACTCCTTTAATTCAGAAATACTGAATTCTCAAGTTTCAAATTTTGAGGGTAATGTCCAGGCATCGTTTTCAATTGTTTCGGATAGTAAAATAAAATATGATTTTGATGTCTCAGTGCCCCTTTAAGGAGAATATTTTGTGAGGTGTATTCCGTGAAAACACTCAAGCAAACCTTTTTTAGGGGGAATTCAGCGTCCATACACGAACAACGTCTTGGAACAAGGGCGCTTTTCGGTATTGCTTCCGACTTGAAATGCACCATTTTGGGAGTTTGGTGCCAAGAGAGGTTCGACGGTCTTTTTTTCTCTAAACGGTTGGCTTTTTTCGACAGACTGCAAGAACGAGCGAACATTTTGTTAAAGAGGAATGCTGACGAAGAATCCCGCCCTTGATTTCAGATCAAGAAGTTGGGCGAGTCGCTCAAGAAGTACCTGGGGACGGGACAGCGTCTCGCCCCACCCGCAAACGGTGAGTGCAAGTCGTGTCAATCTGCCGCTTCACATAACCGGTGTTTGTGCGTGGCGAACGGTGAGTGCAAGTCGTGACCATCTGCCGCTTCACTCCGCGAGCCCGCGTCCTTGCGTCCGTGTCTTTTAGAATGTGTACGAGTGAAGAGCGTTGAGGCCGGTTCACATGACCGGTGTTTGAGCGTGATTGGGTATAACTAGACTGAAGGTCTTGCAGTATTTGGGAGGCCAAATTTAGGCACTGTCTATGCGAAACAGTCGCTTCTAAAGTTGCCAGAGTTATTTTAAGCCCGCCGCGAAAGAACGACGTGCAATATACGTGGGACAGACGCAGGGTGGAAGTGTTCCGAGACCACAGGATAGGTGGCGCCAGTCGCAGGCGAGCACGACGCACTTGATCACACTGAAACGCAGTTGTGCGAGTCAGCCTTTACGGTGTCTGTTTGGGTAGGATGGCGTCGGACGAGTGTCGGGTAGGGAAGTTGGGGTGGAGATATGTTTGGTTAGATACGCGTCATTTCGAGTTTTGTTTGTACGGAATGCTATAGCAACTGACAAGGCGAGAACGAGTTGTTGATCGTTAATTTATAATATATTTCAACAAAGGTATACAGGTATGTGCGTAGGGTGTTTAATCGGCAATTCGTCCAACTCGCAGGCCCAAGGAGCAACAGAACGGACCAGTCACGGCCGGGTGGTGGCGGGGACTCCACCAATGCCGGCGCAAACAACCGAAGAGGCGGTAGGAGGTGCGGGCTGTGTAACCAGGAAGGTAAGTTGGTCTTGGCTTCCATTGGATTGGCTTTAGATCTTTGCCTCGAAGTCCGGCGTCTGCACGTTTTTCTTGACATGTCCCCTAACCGAAAAAGATGATCGAACGACTTTGAGATGCAGTTTTTAAGTGCTTTGTGCTCTGTGGTGAGAGTGTCTCTGAAACTTTGTTCTATTTTTTGCACTGAGACTCTGAAACAGAAAGTAATTTGTGTTTTGTATTCAACGCACGTTTGAGTATTAGTCTGAGCATTAATGCAACCAAAGTAGTACTAATAGTAATAGAAATGTTTATTTTGGTTCGGGAGATTTGTTTCGCAGCTTTTCGAGTGCTGTTGTTTTTGTTTAATATACAAATGAATTTTTGCACAGTTATGTTGTTGGGCATGACGATTGAGATGACAATATTTTATTTATTTATTTTTTTCCATTCAGGTCACAACAGAAGAAACTGTCCCAACCGCTGAATGTCCCCCTGACTTCTGCGTGGAGAGCACACGTCAAGAGTTTCAGGACACTTATCACTTGCAAGGGAAAACCAATATGAGAGACATGCTCAATAGTGTTTCCAAGTGTATATTTATTCTGGTTTCTCTTATAATTAAAAATATAAAGGTTGTTTTTACAAATAACTCGCTTTTGCTTGCTCACGAGAAATATAGCTATAAGATTCTTGAATAATGCTCAGTCGTTGGCAAATTTCTTACTTGTTTTTTAACTGGTTTTGAAGTAAGCTTCGCACCAACTGCACATCAGTGCAGTGTCATGAACTGAAAAAGAAATACAGGTTTTTAACTTATATTCCTGCATCAGGTAATAATCATTAGAACGTTGCCTAAACGTTACGGCAACCGTTAAAAAATATATATATTTTTTTTATTTAGTTTACACCACCTTGGCAAGATAGCGCTAGTTTACGCCACGTTGGCAAGATGGCGCAAGCTGCCGCCCGATTTATATAATGTAGCCGTGTTATCTATTTGTGATATCAGGGGCTCAGAGAAGTGGTCGCGGACCTGACGATGGTGTAATAAATACAAAATAAATAACTGCAGTATCAGGCGGTCAGCCGACGTCTGTTGTGTTCGCTTGCCTCCTCCAAGAGCCATACCGCCGTCGGAACGGAACTTTAGTAGGAACAAGAGAGTACGCACCCCGGCACTACACCCCCGGGCAGCCCCCGGGTTGGGGTGTCTAGACAAATATAATTCATATAATTTATGGATTAATAAACGTGAAGTTGTCTTGAAGGTATGAATAACTTTGACGGTTGTTCTCCGTAACTTTTTCATTCACTCTTTCAACATGTCTTGGCGCCCTAGCGCCATATTATCATTGTTATCATCATCATCATCAATATGATTATGGGCTGGCCGGCTGGCCGCGGCTGGCCGGCTGCATCCATGCACGGCATGCATCTCGAAGTTCTCTACCGTTGCTGCTGATTTTTCTTCGAGAAAAAGGCCTTTTAAGTTCATATTCAGCGATGTTATTGAAATTACTCGTGCGTTGCAACAGCTGAAACACCGGTGGAGATGTGTTTGCTACGGGTGACCTCAGTAGCGAGGTTAGAGAGATTCAAGAGCGCGTTGTTGCAGTGCAGACGACTTCACGAGCAAAACGTGCGGACCACTCAGAAGTTCAGAAACAAGACGGTTTTGCTCTACGTTTCGTCGCTAGCAGTGCTTGTAGGTGGTCTGAGCTACGCAGCGGTTCCCTTGTATAGGCTATTTTGTCAGGTAAGTTCGCTTACTGTTATTAATACGTAACAGCTCGTTTTGAACCATGGTTCAAAACAACGTCACTGGAGCTTGCTCCAGTAACGTTGGTTTAAAACGTTTCATTAACTAGCCTAGCAACAAGTACTTCAACAGATCATTGCTCTTGCACCCATTTGAACGCCGTCTGCTTGGATAAGTGACCTAACGACGTTAATATACACCAGCTCAATTGCGCCCTCACGTTCTGCTCATTAATATTTCCATCCAGTTGTTCACAAAGGTCTTCTCCAGCAATGGTTGGACCATTCTCCGGAAGACAACAAAGGTTGAAAAGCAATACCCTCTCTTTAATGGCAAACTTATTTGGAATACGATCGAAAGCTTCAGTCATGCAGACTGTAAACTTATTGCATGCTGTGCCCAGACTTTTTAACTCCTAATTAACAGTATTTTCTGTTTGTTTTGTTTGGAGAGACACTGAGTCCAGTTTTACATCAGTAAATTTACTAATAAAAACCTGTGCAAACCCCCCCCCCCCCCCCCCCCCCCCCCCCCGCTTAAAATATATATATAAATATTACACGACGCAGAACGTTTTGTAACTTGTTTAGCATCACTCTTGCAGTCGGAAATTTCAGCCTTGCCTAAATGGCCAAAATCAAACAGTAGAGGATATTTGTGGTTTCTGCTATTCACAGTTGAACAGACGACGGAGCTGCACATGTAGGCGACAAATTTTAGTCAAGCCAATAAACTAACAGGTTGTCTTGTTTGCAAGCAGACGAGTATAAGCGAGTCATGACTGTCAGGTTTTCAACCGTCCTATAGTCCCTTTTCAAAATTCAGTGCCATCTTCTGGCTCAAAAAGCAGTTTTACGTCTGACAAATTAATGGCTGTCATGAAAACATATTCATCAAGCACCGTCGCTCTGGTGCATCAATGGCACATGAAAATTGGTTCTTCGATTACCTCATAATTCTTGCATGATTTGTTTCAGTTTCGATGGTATGAACATAAGAACTGACCACTACAGACGGGCAAACTGTAAGCCCTTTCATTAAATTTCTGCTATGAAAAGGTTTTGGAGCCGAACTTGTGCCAAGAGATTGATTGGATAACACTCCGAGATAAACGGTTATGAAATCGTTGTATCCAATTTGTGCGTTGTGTTGTACCGACGTCTCAAACGAGCAGGCCTCATATTTTCTCTGGTTGGTAGTATTTTCAACTCCTTCTTTCATTGGCCTCAAGAAGGCCGCCATTAGCTTGGCAGGGACGCCATACGCCGTGACGATGCCGGCGATTGAAGTTGCCAGACTGAATTTCGAAAAGGGTATATCAGAAAACGAAGCGAAAACCATGGTTCCGTCTCGACGCAGTCAACGGGCAGAGGTGGCCGAGCGTTTGCAGACGAGTCGGCGGAGAAGATCGAGAAGATGCAGAAAGTGGGACACCGCCTGATCCGCATCAACTTTGCAGCTGACACTGCATCCGGCATGCGCTGGAATTTCAAGCCCAGGCAGTCGGATGTCAGGGTGAGTGCAAGTCCGTGATAGGTCAGATAAGCATCGGAATAAAAATTACCCCCTCCCCCCCCATGTAATGCCGAAAGGCCTTTAAGGTATTTTGAATAAATAAATAAATTAAATTACTTCTACACCATTACAGGTGGCTCCGGGGGAAACAGTGCTCGCGTTTTACACGGCGAGGAACCCCGGAGACAAGCCCATTGACGGCATTGCCACGTACAACATTGTTCCCTACGAGGCTGGCAAGTATTTCAACAAGATTCAGGTAAGCTGCTCAGCTGGAAAGAAGTTTCATTTATTTTATCAATCGACTTTTTAGAAATCTGCTTCTGCTGTCGGTTGGACAGTAATACACTGGTTTTGCATAGTCTAGTGCAGTCGTTCTCACCGTATGTGTCCGTTTGTTTTTGTTTTAGTGCTTCTGTTTTGAGGAGCAGCGTCTGAACCCACACGAAGAGGTAAGTTGGATTCAGCGGGAAACAATTGGTTTCTAGCAATTTCTAGCAACATGGATCAGGTAGCCAAGATCAATGTTACTAGATCAAAGTCACGTGACAAGCTTCCTAAAACGCCTGGCTTCTTTTCGTGGCGAGTCTGCTCGGCGGCGCTCGCTGCGCTATCAGCCGGCCCTGTGGACTCTATGGACAGAGGTGGCAGAACCGATGAAACGTTGGATGCACACTAGCTGCGGTGGAAAGGGATTCCATTGTGGTGTTTATGGTGATCGTAAAGTTAGTGCAAGAGCGTTGTTCGAAAACGGTCCTTCTCCGTTGCACATGGAGGCTTTGTCACGGGTGGCGCTAGGAACGCTATCTGCCCATACCTGCTCACAGGTAGGCAACAGAAGAGAACCGCTTTCGAGACGCTCTTCTGTGGAGCTTGTCAACTGACAGATCTAAGAATGTTGGCCAAATTCAAGTATCCTCCTTTGTCTGGCATTAGAAAAATACAGAGAAGAAGGAAATTAATTTAAAAAAAAATAACTAAAATATATATATATTTTTTTTTTGAGGTTAGGTTAAGTTACTGCCCTACATAAAAATACAGCGAGTTGCTTAGCTCCAATTAATGGAACCATCGTTTTCGTAGCAGGAAGTCTGGCAAATTGCCTTTACTAGTAGATACGGCCGCCTTGAAGCTACGAAGACGAAATGGTCCAATTGTAACAATGCTTTAGTTACGGGAATTGCAGGAAAAGGGTCAACCGAGCATTTTATCACATCTCATTATCGTCTACACCACCTTAGAAATTTTGGGAGCTAATGATTGATTAGGTTAGGTGACATCATTCAATTTATCGAAGCATGTCAATCAAAATCTGTCCCTGCAAAATTCCAGTATGAGTATTGATGGAACAGTAGCGGCTCAATTTTCTAAGTTCCAATTTTTTGTTTCTTTGATTACCTTGCAGAGAATATCATACGTCATCCTAAGATACTGTCGCTAGTAGTTCCTGAAAACAAAAAAAAAATGTCCTTTTTGAAAACTGTTGTTGTGGGACCAGAGCTTTGAAGTTGCGCTCAAACTTTTGCCAAGTCGTTACGCGATCTCGACACGACGGCCAACACGATTTCACTCAATTCCCTCGCAGGTGGACATGCCGGTGTTCTTCTACATTGACCCCGAATACGCGGAAGACCCGCTCCTGGAGAACGTCCACGACCTCACACTTTCGTACACATTTTTTGAGGCCAAGGAGGGTCTACAGCTACCCCTGCCCACCACCAGATGAAGTCCGTAGACACGCAAGATTACGCTACGTTTCACCGTCACTCAGCATAGGGTGAACGCAATGGCCCCCTCGAGCCCGTCGCAGTGACGGAGGCGAGCCACGTGACAGCCCTTGCCAAAAGTGTGAGGGCATAACCCAGGCGGTTGGAGAAGAGGGAAAGGAGGAACTCCCCTCTTACCCCGGACCCCCTTTTGCACCTCCCAGAAGTCGGTTTTGTCCTCTTTGGAGATTAGCCCGTCAATCAGAATTCGGACATGGAATAAAGTCACGTGTCTTCCTGCAACGCATCGGTTGACCCACTGGGACCATAGCCTTTGCCGTTTGCCATGTTACGGTGAGAAAGAGTATAGTAGTACTTTATTCTAACTTTCTGTTAGATGCACGGAAGTGCCGTTTCTGCGACGGAGAAGTGTTGCGATCGGCAAGATACGGGCGGGAATGCCATTTTTTGGTAGAAAACAAGTACTTTATGGGAGGGAAAAAAAATATGTTTGAGCGAATGAACATTCTTTGTTGTGCCTGCTTGTGTGGGTTGTTAGTGTAGGTGGGTGCATTGTGTAAAAATGTTGAGTGAATAAAAGTCTAGTTCTATCGCTGCACAAAACGAATAAGGCTTCAATAAGGTAGCCGTCACTGAAGACGACAGTGTTACGGAAGAAACTTTTCGATCAAACAACCAATCTTGCAAATAAAGAAATGCGGGACAAATCCTCTCACAAAGCTCTCTGCTCGACACGATTCGATATCACGTCCTCTTTACTCGCCTCGACTCCAGCATTTATTTTGATCAAGTAGTAAGAGCGGAAGGCTTTGTGGGAAGGGGCCTGTCCTGCAACAGACTACCGTAAAATCCCGCGATGCCCCACTCCCGAAAGGTAACCCACCCCTATTTTTGGGCATTTCGCTATTTTCTTTTAAACCCCGAAAGATAGCCCCTCCTAGTCATCGTAGTACTTGGATCGATAATGACCTTGACATGAATGCGTCTAACTATTTCATTTCATTTATTTACCCTTAAAGGTCCTCATTCGAGGACATTACATGGGGGGATCATTCACATTTGATTCGATAAAGAAAGAGCTAAAAAAATAAACAAAAATATACACGAGAGGTTAAAACAGAGCAAATATAAACAGAATTGATCAATAACACGCACTCATGCACGGTCAGTTAGTGCAGACATCGAGCATACATAGAAGAAAAGAAAAAATTCCGAGGACACTTGAGCACTACTTATGAGTTGAGAATGCAAAAGCGTGACTGCTGTTCTTCCGCTCTCTTAGTTTGTCTGTGGCATAGTGGCGTGGGCGGCCACGTTTCGCCGGCCGACGGCCAAGCACGCGCTCCTCTGTAGTGGTTGTGACGCGCTGAGGTCGGCCGTGCAGCGTCTCCGGAGTTTGCCCGGGCAGGCTCTGCCAGTTCTGCAGCCACCACTCCCTTTTACCGGCGGCCGGGCCGCTGCGTGAGCTGCGCCGCCATGGAGAAGGCTTCTCTGGTGGCGTGTTTTGGAACTACGCCGCACAAGAGCCAATGGGAGCCTCGTTCCTTAATTGATGATATGCGCCAGCCAATGGGAGCCTATCCATGAGATTTCTGCTACAGACAACGTTGGGACTGGGGAAGGTGCCGTTTGGTGCTACTTCAAAGCTGATGGCATCGGTTCGCTCCGTGGAACAATTAATGCTTTCGTATTAAAACACACACAGGGAAAAAACTACTCTCCGAGACGAAAGACTAAACAAGTGCGGAATGCGTTCAGGCATTCTGCACTGAGGTTGAGTTCTCCGGTAGAGAGTTCCATTTAGAAATTGCTAGTGGAAAAAAATGAGTTACTAAATATGTTAGTGGGAAGCTCTCTCGCCGCATGCGGGTCAGAAGGTGCACTGTTTGCGTCGAAATTCACGGCGAGACGTGTCCCGTGAAATTCGTAGCTCTACAAGACTTCCAGAGAGACGTCATTCTTGGCATGGATTTTCTGTGTGAATACGGGGCTGTCATCGACCTAGGAGAAAACAGATTTTATTTATTTATTTATTTCCAATACTACTAATCCCATTCGGGATTATTGTAGGGTGGTACATCATACTGAAATATATATCTTTTAATACACATTTGAAGATAATGGTATGCAAGCCTATGTCGACAGGTGCGCTTCCAAGTTCCTAAGAAACTGCTCTACACTAGTGGAATGCACAATGTTTCGCGGCAAGTGATTCCATTCGTTGATAGCGCGGGGGAAGAAGGAATATTTGAAGCAATTATTGTGGGTTGGAAGTTCTTCGTAAAGCTTACCATGGTTATATCTTGTTAGCCGTTTACTAGTAGGAGTTAGATAATTTTCCGTGGGGATGTTGAAGTTGCTGTTAGCTAATTCATATAAAAATTTAAGCCTTGCAATTTTCGCCCTTTTTTCTAGTGACAACAGTTCCAATTGCTTACATAACTCGGAGGGGGAATCATGCCAACTATATTTGTTAGATATAAACCTTGCAGCCATTCTTTGTATTCTTTCTAACTTACTAACACCAGAGGCCGTGTATGGGAACCAGACGACGTTGGCGTACTCAAGCATAGGGCGGACTAGCGTCTTGTAGGCTAATAATTTCGTCTCAGTCGATCCACTTTTTAAGGTTCTTTTTAGAAAATTAAGTTTGTTTAGCACTTTTTGAGTTACAGAGTCTATGCTCTGTAACTCAAAGTCCCAACGGAGGTCATGGCTTATATGTAGGCCGAGGTACTTGTACTGTGTGACTTTCTCCAGGGGTTTATTGTTGATGTGGTAGGAAAACGATTTAGGTTGCTTTTTGTTAGTTATGGTCATAGATACAGTTTTATCTAAATTTAACAACATCTGCCAGTCATGACACCATTGTACAATATGTTGAAGTGCATTGTTAAGGTTGATTTGATCCTGTTCATTGTTGATTTGTGAGTACAGTATACAATCGTCAGCAAAAAGACGGATTTTTACATTAACGTTTTGAACTATGTCATTTATGTAAATAAGAAACAGGAAAGGTGCCAGTACCGATCCCTGTGGAACACCAGATGAAACTTTTCCCTTTGACGATGAATGAGCGTGAATTGTCACAAACTGATAGCGATCAGATTGACGCTGCGGACACCTATTCCGCCTTCACAGACACCCCCACGTCAAGCAAACGCATATTTTGTAAGCATAAAAATTAACGAAGGACATTGCGTCATTTTATTTCGGCCAAGCAAAAAAAAATGTGGGAGAAAAGGCGGTCACTCACCGCAGCAAAGTACTCGTACACAGGGTGTTTCAGTGAACTTGGGCCAAATCGCTTCTGCGAAAACTACTCATCGCAACGAAAAAAAAAGCTTGTGTCGTTTTGGTCCTGGGCCAGGGGCCCATTTAGGAAAATTATTAAAGTCCAGGATAATTAAATTGTTAGTTATTTTTGCGTAATTAACTTTTTTAATATTGCATTTAAGGGCATGGTTTTAATTAGAAAATTGCTCAGCATCGTCAAAAAACACTACATCAACAAATTGCAGAACGATAGAAGGCGCGCGAAGCATTTTACGGCTTTCTTAAAAACTGAACAAAATCGACGGGTTTTCAAGTTTCGGTTCGCTATCGGAGCTATCTCGGTTTCGGCGGCACCGTGCCCCGTGAAGAGATAGGGCAACCAGCCTCTGCTGCATCGCGCGATGACGGCGCAGCAGAGGTTGCTGTGTAGAAGAAACAGGATATTGTCAGCATGGGAATATTCACACTGGTTTGCCTCCAAATTAAAACCCACTAATGAGAAGTCTCTTTCCACTGGCACATCTGATGCTGGGATGGCATGCACAAACTGTGCTACAAGAGAGGTATAAGAACTACTGCTGGTGCAAGTTGTCTTATCACTCACCTATACACTCTGCGGTCGCACACATTTATGGGCCGCCTCGGCAAAAATGTAGGTCTGGGCCCATGGATATCTGCATCCGCAACCCTTGGCATCCGATCTGCAATTCGCCAAATCTGATTCATTTTTATTCGCATACGCCAGTTGACCCCGCATACGCCAGTTGACCGCGGATTTGCAGGGCTCTACACATGGCACATTCATAGACTTGGAGAAGTGAAAGACATTTTAATGTTGTCCGTGCGCGGTCACACGCTTGCACGACTCAACGCCGCCTGGGCCTTCATCTTGCGGTAGAGGAAGACTGCTCGCTGGCGTTCCGCCTCGAGCTTACGACGATCTCCCGCAGACAGTTCTTTCCGCTTGACCGTCAAATCCGCCTTCTTCGACGCGTGTCCCATCACGTCGCTGTCCTTTTTCTTGGGCAGCAGGTCCTTTAACAGTAGTTCCTTGGCCCCGTGCTGCAAACCAAAAATGTTAGGTTTATCTTGATCCTACAGATAACATTGGTATACACAGTGTATTTCCACGGCATTCTTCAGGACTTCTGGTAAATATTGCAGGGAATACGTCTCGGATTTTTTTTTTTTTTTTCTTCCCATGAACTGTTGTAATGTCGAAAGCTGGCATTTGCGTTTGAATAGTTAGTATAGAGCAAGGTAGCTTTGCTTGCTTAGTGTCTTCTTACACTTTTTCTTTTGATTTTCCTTCTCAGTCTCAGGATTTTAACATCATGATTGGCTTAGCTTGCTTGTCACCCACTACATGGTGGAGTGCTAGAATGTCAAGTCTGCAATCGTGGGGTCCTTGGTTTGGTTCCCATTGGGGTGCGCTTAGAATCTTGTTTGTTCTTCTCAATTTACCACTTTTTTTGTACAGATTGTTCGGTGACGTATGTGCTACACGTTTTGTGACGTTTCTCGTGGCGTTCCGCCACTTTCCTCGGGGATTCTCTATCTCGCATGTTGAGGGATTCACGCTCCGGTTTTGGATTGAATTAGAGCGGTTGCCACAAACCTTGTGTAGCTTTTCGGCGTCTGCTTTCCGGATGGTGGCACTAATCTCTGGGGGGCGGTGCACCACTTCACCGAAGGCAACTTCATCTGCAAGTGGTTCGGTGTCACGTTTACACAAATCTTAACAAACATGCGAGGGAAAAAAACAAAAAACATACAATGAAAAAATATTTATCTTCAAAGATATGTTTACTGTGCGAAACGATTTTGAAGTGGGTGCCCGCGGGAGCCCGCGGAAAAGTGGCCGCTGTGGTCATGTGACTGGCCACTAGGGTCACGTGGTGCTCGTGCTTCTTTGGGAGCTTACTACGATCTATAAAAGTTTCTTATTAATCTTTGTTTGAAGTGCAAGAACAAAAAAAAAAAAGATTAATAAGTAACTTTTAGAGCACAGAGGAAGCTCCCAAAAGAGTGCAAGCACCACGTGGTAGACCTGCGTGCCGGTCAGAAATTGACAGCGGAGGCGCACAGTTCTATCACATGACGAGTGGCAGCTCTCACGGGCGCCAACTACAAATTTGTTTCACGCTGTAAATATGGCTCTAAAACTTTTTGTTTGTTGTAAATTTTTGTTTATGCCATCCTTTTCCTGTCTAGGCTGTTTAAAAAAAATGTTTCTTCCCTTTGCATATGTTCTTTAAAGGGACACTACAAGGAAAAAAAAATTTTTTTAAAGGGCATAATGATACAAGTATTTTCTTAAAAAATTTTTCCATAATTTTTTTTTTTTTCACAATATTTACTTAGACACAGTTTAAGTGCAGAAAGTGGAGATTAAAGCCATCTAAGCCCCGTCCCGTGCTTACAAGCTGCTTACATCTCCTTGGCTGGAGATGATTGACATGTGAAAGGTTGGTTGTAAATTTGTATCTCTGTGCCGTAATAGTATTTTAATCCACTATTTTCTTATATTTGAGAAGCAAATAATCAAGATAGCCATTATTGTTTTCAAATGTATTCCGAGATTGCTTCTCCCGCTTTGGTTTGAAACATTAACAAATATGGCAGCCGGCACCTGCAGATTGCTGTACGAGCGAAGCTCGTTGAGCTCCTCAACTTTTATGAGCGCGAGTGGTTTTGAGTTTACAGATGTGTTTAGAGGAAGATTCCTCAACCGCCATAGTCTTCAACAAACATCCGCCGTAAGCATGCGCCTCTGGGAGCGCTGTGCAGTCCTAGCGGGACTGGCCTAAGTCCAGCAACCCTGTACACCTATTTTGATTTATCTGGCTTGATATCTTTCTTTGCGCGTGCTGATGCTTAATAAAGATGTTGGTTCCCGTAAAAGCGGCCTCACTGCTCCATGAATTGTGCAACCGTCATGACTGTGATCATGGTTTCAATACCGGGAAGATACCCACACAGGTAAGAATCTGCGAGTCATTTGGTTGGAGGCCATTGGGTGTTCGGCTCGCATCCAGTTTGTCTAGGTACGTTCCCGTCACTGCGTCTTGAAAGGCAAGCTTTCAAGATCTACGATGCACCTGGCCTACCAAAGCGAATATTTTTACGTCTTGTTTTAATTGTGTGTCATGACGCTCAACCACCTTGCTTGCGGATACCATGCGAAAAAATTACGAGCAGTAAAACTAAAAAGGCTGCATATTTATTTTGTTGATTTTTTTTAGTTCTATTGGTCGCTTATTATGCACATAGACGCTGATAGAGGCTTGTATTGGACCGTGGCTCGTGCATGATGGAACGCTAGAATGCCACTTTCATGGTCGCGTTTTCCGAGTGTTGCAGAAGTTTTTAGACGATGGCGGAATAGCAGACGGACGGAGGCAAAGACAAACGCAGACGACAATAGACTGTGGTGAAATAGCAGACGATGATGGAGGCTGCCGCTCGTCTGCTCGCACAACTAGCAGGCGGTGTTAGACTTCCAGACTAGACGGACTGGATGACGTGAAAGGGAAATACGCTTGTTAGCCCTTTCGGTTAAGCAGCCAAGCCAGTCCAGTAGTGATGGGTGGGGCCACTGATTTGTGGGCGGGGCTTAGAGCCGGCTGTGACCTCAACCTAAATTGCGTCTAACAACGTAGATATTGCGCAAAAAAAAAAATCTTTCTTGTAGGAAATGCTTTTTAACAAATGTGCGTCCTATCTACGCCTTAAAAAGAAAAAAGATTTTTCCCTTGCAGTGTTTTTTTAAGGGTCGTTCACACATTTGCATACGATCGAGCTTTTGCGATGAGAGAAGACTGGCGCCATCTATGATGTGGCTTTGGAACTGCATTTCACCAGAGCAAAGGTTCTGCGGTACTTGCGAGATCACTTGCAGGCACCATTTATGAAAACTGGTCGTTTATAATATTGTCATACGTTTTTCGAGCCAAGAGAGAAAGAATAGGAAATAGATGAAAATGCCCAATGTTCCACGACTACTAGATAGGTGGTGCCAGTCTATTCTCTTGTCATACGAGATCCCAAGGTTTTAAGGCGCTTGGTCGTAAGCTGACCAAATGACCAAATGAAGTTGTACGAAACCAGTATGGCTTCGTGCATACTGCAATGTATATAAGATATACTGCAATGCATACGTAAGATAGGCGTGCAATGAAATTGGCGATAACAAAAATTGGTAAGATGAGCACGGAATAAAATTTCACGAGTTTAAACTGACTTGGTGCATCGAGCCACTAACGTTTCAAATTAAATGTTGTTTCTGGCACTCCTGGGCCTCAACAACTTTTGCACCATAAACACATAATCCAATCTCTCAAAATGGCTTTTATGGCATAACGAGGCTTTTGCACACAGTGCAGCCTTGCTTTTGCTGTACGCCAATACTGACATATATTTAATGGTGAAATGAAGGTTAATAAGCCAACGTTGAGAACACATTTTGTCTCACCCTTAAGGTGGGAAAAGTCGCCGGCTGGCACGGCCGCCTTCTGCCTTTTCTTCTCCTTCAACTTCTGCTCTCGCAGTTTCCGCTTCCTGCGTGGGAAAGGCAAACTCCGCCCACTCTTATATGGTCTATGATTTCCCCAAAGATTGCAAAACCAAGCCAATAAGTCAGTGCTAAACCATGCTCACTGTTTTGTCTAATGTTGTGTTCTTTTCTTTGGGGAGTTTTAAACTGATCACCTTTTGCTTGAGGGGTCTTGCGCTGATTGTGATTGACGTGTTCCATCTAATAGTCGCTGACAGTTAAAGAAGGGCGGGGAGGTCCTTCGCGCGTCCAGCCTCCAACACGAGCCCTTTCCCCTAGTAGAGGTACATATGCCCACCCCTTCTTAAGGCATGTAATCCCTATTCAGCGACAGCTCCACCCTTTTAAGGGCAGTTACTCCTTATTCACAAGCACTTTGCCTATATTCAGAGGCAGTCATTCTCTATTTGGGGGCACTTACTCCCATCTAAAGCTGCTTGCTCCTCTTTAAAGCACTTGTTCCCTCTTAAAGATACTTCCTATTCGAAGGCACTTGCTTACTTTGTGAGGTGCTTACTCGCTTTGTGAGGTGCTTACTCTCTATTTGGAGGCACTTGCTCCCTTTTAGATATGATCACTCCCTATTTGGAGAGACTCCTTCTTAGAGGTGCTGGCTCCCTATTCAGAGGCACCTACTCCAAATTCAGGGGCACTCGCTCCCTTTCTGGAGTACTTACGCTCTTTTGCGGGCCCCGTAGTTGGAGGCCACCTGCTCGCCGCCGCCCTTGGGGTCAACGATCGTCCGGCCCTCGTCGTCCTGCGTCACCCTCACGTCGTACTTCTGCTCCACGCTGGCCTCGCTGAACGCCCGGCCAGCCAGGCGATCCAGGCGCCGCAAGAACTGCTCGTCGCTCTCATGGCGTTGCTGCTGAATTGTCTCGGGCAGCTGCTTCAGCGGACGCGTCATGCCGTGCTGTTCCTGCTCCAACTTGCTGCGTTTCACTGCGTGGCAACGGCACACGACCAATCACGCACAAGACGTTTTTTTGTTTTTAACTTAAGGCTGGTTCACACACTTGTGAATGCTTACGGCCGTGTGCCTTACCTCTTAAAATTTCTTACGACGGGAGAACATACCACACTTGACATCTCTGTATATTTGCTTTCTTTTCGTCTCACCCTGCCAATGTGTAACCGTAAGACGATTTCAATACGTGTTCGTTCCACTCCACTCCACATCTTTTTGTTTTTTGTAAACCGTTCCTTTTTTCTTGGCTTGAAAAACGTTTAACAAACGAGCATTTCGCCTTTCTTTAAGAGATCACAACAACTCAGTTGTAAGGAAACGCAAGTGTGTGAAAGTGCTTTAAGCAATGGTTAGTAGCAGAGAGAAACACTTTAGAAAAGCAGTGAAAGAATCCAGTGAGGTATATATGGCTCAGGGCTCTCAACCATGACAGAAGAAATCATCTTCAACTTGCTTAGGGAAATGCGTAACAGTTGCTTGAGGTAATGGGCCTTTTTCAGAGTTTGGCCACGATCGGGGTGCGCCCTTGCGAGAATTGCTTGAAACACTTTTGGGGGCCCCCAGGATCGTCGTCTGCGCCAGTGCCTTGCGTGTCTCCCGGTCTGTGTGTTCATATGTGTTCTACGGTGGCGTTGTTCCGTCTTTAGCAATTCTGAACGACTTTCTGTAGTCGCTTCGTGTGCATCTTTTCTTCGAAATGGCTGAGGACAACCCTGGAGGATTAACAAAAGACACTGTCTACAATACAGACGACCTCGTCCGTCTTTATACCCTCAAAAATTAATAGACCGCCGACGCCACATGGGTGCCTACCGTCGACTCGGAGTCACTCAATCGTCGCATCGGGTCGCGTCGTGCAAGCAACCAGGGCCGTAACCAGGGGGGGGGTTAGGGGGTTCTGACCCCCCCCCCCCCCCCCCCCCCCCCGAAATTTTTTTCTGGGTATGGCCCTGGTCGGTGCACTGGCAGCCAGCCGATTTTAATTTCCACCTCTCCGCACGTGCAGTGGCACCGGTCGGCTACCGGGTACCAAACCGGGACCGGTTCTCCAGTTTGCTGTAACTCTCCATTATATGCCACCGATGCACATGATTCATAGGCAAAAATAAGAAAATAGACACTTTCAAAATGGCCGCCGTTGTCCCCGGAAACCCCCCCCGAAATATTTTTCTGGGTACGGCCCTGCAAGCAACTAAAATAGGGGTTGGCTTTCAAGGCGGAGTGTTATGTAAGGAAAGTAATGGTGACCAGCTTCTCTCCCGACCCAACTATCAACCTTGTGCGGAGCTTGTGAGTTCTGTTTATAAGGCCCGGCCTCTACAAATAGCTGATTTCACGCTCCTTGAGCGCCTAAGTGATTCGAGCTTATTGTGTTCCGTCGCTTCGCTGTCCGGTGTACCGCGCGAGTAGACGGGGCATTGCCGTACCCGCAGCCGTGTTAACAAACTCAGATGGGGTGAAATCCTGGCGGCCTTGATATCGCAAAGGCTCGCCTGCACCGTCAGAAAGTAAGAGACGGTATGTTAGAAACAATCTTTTTAATTCAGCATGTTTACGAACCCCTGACGAAGTGGGCGCTGCAAACAGGACAGTTCACGGTTGGTTGGCCAGGCTTTCGGGTGTGGTTCTATCTCTGTAAGGCTTGAATCTATTTCGCACGCTTTAAATGTTTTGCCAGTGACGGATATTTTCTGGGTTTTCTTTTTTACTTTTAACTTACCAAGGCAAGACGTGAATGCGTATACCGCACACCTGATGAACGGAAAGCTTTATCCAGTTATTTTTTACTTGAGTACCGGGTAAGGCATGCTTACGTTACATTACTTCGCGTGCACACTTACTGTCTTTTAGTTAAAAGCAGAATGTCCCGCCGTCACGTTGAGGACCCAGTCACCTGGCGTCATAGGCTTCTGAAAAAGAAGCTTCAAAAGGCTTCCGGAACATTATAAAATCTTGCATTTTAACCACTTCTGCTGCTATTTGTGCAATCTACAGCTATGCAGTAGTGATGCATGACGACTATGAACCCATGAGAATAGCGGAGGAAAAATTATCTCTGAAAAAGGTCAATTGCAAACTTTTGTTTCAGGCGGCCGCTTCGGACCATCGCGAAGCCCTGTAACAATAATTACCCACGGCAATATTTCAATATGGGAAACAATCCGACCCGATGGTGTTCGTGATTAAAAACCCAGCTGCCAAAAGAAGATAACTTTAAAGGTAATCATTAGCATGCTAGAGTGTTTGGCATCCATTTGTACTGCTCTTACAAACGAGTTTTAGCACGGTGTTTATCGCACCCCCTGACGACGTATCCCCCCAAACGTAGTACACGCGTCTCCCGCTGGGCCGTGTCACGCTTCGATGGTGCGGCGCCACTCGAGCACCGTAATTTCGGGTAGACCGATCTAGTTCTCTAGCGGCAGCATAAGGAAACAAAGAATAATAAGGAAATGAGGTGAGTTCCTGACACGTTACCCTGAACGAGGTTCTGCTTTTTCTTGCGTTTCTTGGGACGCTTCTCGTCTTCTCCGTCTCCAAACAACATCGTCAGACTCCTCGGAACTTCTTGTTCGAGACTCTTGGGCGGTCGGTTGGCTCTTTTGCTGCAAAAAGTTCAACGTGAAGGTTGACAAGGATAAGTTTAGCAGACGAATTCAAGTAAACCACCGAGATTAAAAACGCGTCGGCGAAGAGGGTTTGCGACTGCTTACTCGATCGGCTTTTCGACCCCTGCATCCTTTCGAAACGGGTCCACCGACTTGAGTTTCTTGTGGCGGGTGCTTTTAGGGATCCTACGTCCCATTTTGAGAACCTAGTCGGTAGACTTAAACCAGATACGGCTCTGACTTAGACGAGCACCAACTCAAAAACGCAGGGCACACGTGCACTGCGACGGAGAGGTAAACATTCGAATATTCGATTCCTACGTAGCATTTCAAGTTCTCAATGTTATGACGTCACAAAGCTTGTTTTCGTCCAGGCAGGGTTACAACTTTTGACTCCGCAAAATATTTGGTGAAATTTAACTTTTGCTATAAATTGTCTCAAAGTTAATAATTAATATTAATTTGTTTTATACTTATAATACTTCGGAATGAAGGCAATGAGACATTTAAGCTTCAAAAGCTAGAAACGCGCGGCCCTAGCCCCCTAGCGGCAGCGGGCTTATCTGCTGTCATGACGACCGCGGGCCAATCGCTACGTACACAAACACGGCGCCAGCTCTGGAAATAATTGACTGGAGCATTGGTTTATCAGTAAGCTACTACGTTGCATTCACCCATATACAGGAGTTGTCTCAGAAAATAAATCACCCAACAGGATGGTACGTATATTCTCAGTTTCGGTTTCAGAGCGCGCTTTCAAAAGACGCGATATTTAGCGCTCTTTCCACTATCACGCGTGCACATTCAACGCGCTAAACCTTCCACTGCTACAGCGTCGACACCAACGCGAATTTTATACAAAAAAAAATCCAGTTGTAAATTTCAAAAATACCGATGACATCATTCTGGCAGTTCCTAACACGCTGGCATGAGTAAACCATTTAATCTATTTGGTACTTACAACGACCACGAGCGCATAAGAGTAGGGGGTGATTATCATTAAAATATATAGAGGCCTCTTGTAACACATCAGATCGCAAAGCTCATCTCTCATCTCTGAAGTGTAAATCACCTCACAAAACGAACGCATCCCAAATAATATTATTGTTATCATTATTAATAGGGTGATTTAAATCAAACCCTTTGCCGCAGAAATAACCAACGAAATATTTTTATTTACCGTTTGTTTATCATTTTATTCCCTCTATGTGCATGTTTTGTATTTAAATGAAAGTATTATTATAAGCGTGAAGTATTTATATGTAAGACTGCACACAAGCAAAAAGAAGGGTGCTCACCTCAAAACAGCAGACAAATCAAATAGTTTTTTTTTTTTAAACTAACTAAAGAAATCAAGCTGTCTTTGTTCTAGTATGGTGGGGACTACATCAATAAAAAGTTGTTAATTAGGCTGCACTTTACACTTTACAGTAATTCGTTCTTCCGCACTGTTATCAGTGATGGGGCAAAATGACCAATCAGTCTGCCATGTTGAAAGTACATCTATACTCGTTGTCACTAGTTGTGTGCAGTGCAGACGAAGGCAACGCCAGGCGAGAGAAGGCGAGCACTAGGAAGGTGGGAGGGTAGAAGAGGGTCAGTGGAGAAAGGGAGAGCACTGGGAACGTTAGAGAGGAGAGGAGGTTTCTCTCCACTCCCCCAGTCTTCCTATATAGTGCTTGCCTTTTGTTCCCCCGCCTGACGTTGCCCCCGCCTGACGTTGCCCTCGCCTGTGCTGCACACAACTAATGACATAGAGTATAGTGGTAAATAATGATAGCTACAGTGATTTAAAATTAAATTACTATAATTTAAATAAAATAAACCTGACTTTAAAAAAGTTGTGAAGTTGACTATTCATACTTTTAATTTATTGCGCACAAGAACAATTGAAACTGAAACACGCACACCAGTAAACCTGAATGAGTGGTTCCTTTTTTTACTTGTGTGCAAGTGTTTCAGTGTGATTTGTTCACTTGCGCAGTAAATCATAATTCTTTTTTCGCATTGATTTAATCATTTCGCTTTCATACACAAACACGCTAGCGAAACAGTTGCTTTCCAGGACGAAACCAGCGACGAATTCCAGCGTGGCTCCCAAGGGACTCCAGCAGGGTTCCATGGTGCCCTCGCTGGAAGAGTTCCTGAAGAAGAGGGACTTCACGGGCGCCATGTCACTTCTCGAGTTCACACGCAACAGCGGCAAGCCAAAGCTGGAGACGGACATGTGGATCGCGTACTGCGCCTTCCATCTGGGCAACTACAAGCGTGCCATGGAAGAGTATGAAGCCATACTCAAGGACAAGAAAGCACCCCAGGTAGGGATGCTTTCCACCGGGCTGGGCTGTATCAACGTCATCTGTCCCGTCTACTCGTGAGGGAAAACAGTGATGTCTTCTAGACGTCTAGAAAATATTCCTTGTAGATATGATGGTGCTTTGTTTAATGACTCCTCACAACTTCTCAGCTTTCCTGCACCATCAAAGGTTCATAAGTACGACAAAACCAATTTAATTCTTTTTTACTGGCGCTTTACTATGATCCCTTGCAGGAGGTGTGGACATACCTGGCGAGCTGCCAGTTCCACCTGGGCCTGTACCGGGAGTCTGAGTCTTCGGTGCTTAACGGACCCAAGTCGCAGCTCCAGAACCGGCTGCTCTTCCACCTGGCACACAAGTCGGGCGACGAGAAGAAGCTCATGGCGCTTCACCAGCTGCTTCAAGACATCCTCCAGGACCAGCTGTCCCTCGCCTCCATACACTACCTCAGGTACTGCACAATGTTTCTGGTACATCAGAGTACACTGAAAAGTAGACTACTCGTATAATAAACATTTTTCCAAATTCAGTGCCATCTGATGTTCCAAAAAGCAGTCTCACTTTTGGCAAACTAATGATGGTCATGAAACTGTATTTCATTGAGCACCGTCACTTCCACACGTAAATGGAAGAATTCATTCTTCGATCACCTCATAATTCTTCCTTGGTTTGTTTCAGCTTTGATGGTGTGAACATAAAATCTTACCAGTACAAAGTGGCAATCCCATAAGCCCCTTGATTAAATTTCTGCCATCAAAAGGCTTTAGAGCCAAACTTTATTGAACCAGACTCTGAAATAAATGCTTACGCAGCTGGTGTATCTAATTTGTGCATTGTGATGTATTGACGCTTGCAATCGTCATATATCCTTCACTTGGTAGTACCTTCAACTGATCATCAGCCTCAAGAAGGCTGCCATTAGTTTGGCACAGATACTACACTGAGATAACGTACGACAACTCTGAAAACTAAAAAGCAGCTGAAACTTATTGCAATACTATATGCAATAATTTCCTTGGGTAGAGTGGATGAACGTTCGTTCAAGTTGATGATTCAGTTTCAATGAAGCTTGAAAGTTGCAAACGCTGCTGGGCTAACCTTGAAAATGAATTTTTTGGGGAGTTGAATTGCAGCCGAAATTTCATTATTTGATTTATCTCGGCATCAAGCCTAATTCTCATACATTTTTTAGAAAGAATATATGATCATGTGATGTGTTGTTAAGGTGCTAAGTTATCCTAGCTAATGTCTTGGTTCCAACATGAAAGCAGCATCATACCAATATTTGCAGCTGTAGAGTAGGCGAAAAGAGTTTCAGGAGCCCAATGCATGTTTCCTGTTTCAGGGCCCACTACCAAGAGGCCATCGACATTTACAAGCGCATTCTCCTCGAAAACAGGTAACGATGCAAGATATATGCCAGCACTTTAGCACTTCATTCAGTGTGTTTCAGTTTCAGCAAGATTTAATTACCCGGCTGATATATGCGCTTCTTCAATTTGAGCCCTAGTAAACTTAACTTGCAAAAACACTAGTTAAACATGCAAAAAGATTTACATGATGCAGGTCTAGAAATTCAACTTTGATGTTCTCCAGTAGTACTGATGAATTATTATTTACTGCTGGAGACAAAATTATAGCACATAAACGGCCGTAATGGTGTGTGCTCTTTATTCTTCTTACACAAATAGGAGGGCAAATAAAGAAACTTTTCGTGTCATATTCCTACTCCGAATTTTGTCTGATATATAGTTAGTCTGAATTTATATCTTTGAGCTGAATCCCAGACCTCACCACAAAAATAACCTTTTTTGCTTGCAGGGACTTCCTTGCCCTGAACGTGTATGTGGCACTCTGCTATTACAAACTGGATTACTACGATGTCTCGCAGGTTAGATCTCTCCGCCCTCCATGATAAACCTTAAAAACTTTTGCAGCGAAATTTAATTTAAACAAACCAGATTCAATTAGAAACTTATTCTCAATGCCTCAGAGCTTCTTGTGGCCTTTGCTTTATGTCGCATGGACGAAGATGGGGAGGTGGGGTCCTCAAACTTGAATTAATTACTTGAATTCATGGGCATTAATTGTAGGCAAACAAGCATTTAAACCTGTCCAGGAGAGTTTGTTGCCCTTTTTGTTCTTTGTCGCAGTGGCCACCTCGCTAAATCGAGAAACAAGTACTATGCATGATCTTCAATAAATGTAAGAACAAAATCCAACTAGAAAAATGTCAAATTGCAATTCATGTTAAATAGAGGTTCATTATTCATTGTTCAGTTATTCCAAAGATGTGAAGCAATTCATGAAACCATGCATAAACATATAGCACATATCAAATGTCAATACTGCAGCTGATCCAAAGTCTGGGTTCACTGAAGTCCTTCCATATATCCATGTTTTATTTTCAGGAAGTGTTGGCAGTGTACCTTCAAAATTTTCCAGACAGTGCAACTGCCATAAACCTCAAAGCCTGTAACCACTTCCGGCTTTACAACGGCAAGGCAGCAGAAGTAAGCTAGCATATCTTAATTTCGCTTAAGAGTCTAAGTTCAAACATGGGCATACTCAGTACTATAAGAATTAAAGTGCTTTAAGAAGTCAACTGTGATCTTCAAGCATACTTGTGAGAATTTTGTAATAAGTTTACTACTAGTTAATGTCATAGGGTATGCCATATAAACAAATAAATTTAGTTTGTGAGGTAATGCAAATTGCAAAGCCTTTAGATTGCCTTTTTAGGCTAGACAAGGATTTAAAAAGTGTATGCTCTATGAGGAGTTACAGAAAAAAATAGTCACACATAAGCAACAAAAACAATGTAACAAGATCTTGCATAACTGGTGACGCTAAATATATGTATGCATGTAATATATAATGAGTCATAGTAATGTGACCCTGTAAAGTAACATATGAAAATGATGGTTAACCTTAAAGTAATTGTAATAATTTCATTACTTCTGAATTGAGTAATCTAATCAAATGCCTTTTGACCATGAGTAAGCAGTTAATTTTGTTTCAGACTGAGCTGAAGAGTCTACGTGAAAAGGCATCCCCAAGCTTCACATATGCGCAAGATCTCATTAAACACAATTTGGTGAGCTCGCACGTTAATACAGAAAAAGGCACTTATAGTGGGGTCGGTCATGATTGTACTCCATTGTAGTGCCACTTCTTTTCAGTCACCAAACTTGACTTCACTGGTGCAAAAAAAAACCCAAAAAAAACCTGGAAATAGTCAAAATGTGGTTGCGGTCACGTTATGTGGCTTTAGGTTCTTGTAGAACGCTGAATGTTTCTTCTAATGCCATGTTCCTGGACTATATAGTCATGCAGATTATTTTTTACACGATGCAAACTAGGTGCAGAGTACACAGGGATCTGTTTTCCAAGATTGTACATTATGCTGAGACATGTCAGATTTTGAGGATGAATAATGATTTATACATGTATGATACAAGCTCCTTTATGACATAATAAATCAGACATTCGTCAAGAAGTGCTGTGTATGAGAATGTTTTATGCATGAACTAGGCAGCAGGTCTGGACTGTCTAAGGAAAACCTATGTTTTCAGTCGAAATTTCCCCTTGTAGATTGTTCAGATTATAGCCCAGTTAAAAAGGTATCATGAATGTAATAAATTGATGGTCACAGAACTTGCAGCAGTCAGTCTTTACAAAAGGTCAAAAAGTATCTAAATGACAAGCTATGTAAATGTATGGATGTATAACTGGCTGATCCCCTATTGGTTAACTATAGTTGATTATTGAGCTAACATCTTTTTCTGTAGGTAGTGTTCCGGGGTGGTGAAGGGGCATTGCAGGTTCTGCCCCCCTTAGTTGGAGTCATCCCAGAGGCACGACTGAACTTGGTCATCTATTACCTCAAACAAGGTAGTATCTCTCTTTACCCCTCTTCCATTATTGTGTCTGATAATTTGAGGCATCTTTCTCCGACGTCAATCGACATATGTTACACTAGAAATGCAACATACTCACAAGTTTAGTTTACAAGCTCAGTGTATGACACACCTGCACAAAAACAAGAAGGCTGCCCTGTGTTTACTTCTTTGCCGTTTTGATGTAAAGTCATGATCAGATTAAAAAATAAAAGCTATCCAACTATTTTGTTTAAATATAGCCACGTGAAGGTTGTTCAGAACATCCTGAAGGTACTATATGTATGAAATGCTTTTAATGTGTAATCACAATTCTCAAGCTGTACAGACATATGCCTAATGTATTTTAAAAAGAAATAGAAACTTTGTGAATGTTGGTATGTACGCTAGAGTAAAATTTTCCAAACGATGTGGCTATCATGCAAGAGTATATGTTAGGCAGAGATGTCCTGACGACCAGCGTTAATCATTCATGATTATCTTTTTTCCTTCTCTTAAATTCGATATTTAAGGAAGGACATTTGCACATAGCAAGATTTATAAATACCCTCGATTATGTATAGTTTGGCATCTCTATAGCTTTAAGGTTATATCAAATGTGTCATTTACTTGCCATCCTTATGTAGGCATCGGTATTTCTGAGGCAACACTTCATAAATATAGTTAGATTAAAATTTTCCTAGAAATGGACAAGTGGAAGCTCAGGCACAACTTTCACAAGTTCAGCTGGGTTTTTGTTTAAGCATGGTGCAGTAGTGAAAAGCTTGGAGAAACTATTCAATATTCAATTCGAAAATATCCGGCCAAAACCACTATTTGCTGCAAATTTACTTCAAACTCTAAATCCACTATTCCCACACCTACAAAGTGGCTTAAAACCAATAACTTGCATAAATGTCATCCACAGTGAGTAAAATAAATGTTTTTCGAACAATATAAATTTTCAAAATGTTTCTACAAAACCTCAAGTGAACTTAAGTTACGTATTGTATGGTAACCGAGCCCGACATTTTTTAACCCTACCCCGACCTGCCAGAAAACATTCAAGAAGCCCACAACCTGATCAAGGATCTGGAGCCTACTGTGCCCCATGAATACATTCTCAAGGGTGTCGTCAATGCTGCCATTGGACAGGCTCAGGGATCGGTATGCGCACAAATAAAATAAATAAATTCAATAACGCTCTCTGATTTGCAGCTTCTTGACCAACTATAGTAAGCTGCATATTGGCTGGTGGAAAACATGCTTTTTTATGGGCTTCACTATGAACTCAATAACAGTATGTGAGACAAGAGGAAGACTTTGAGAACTCGAATGGTAGTATAGTACTTCTAAATCTAACAAGTACAGCAAACTTCACAATAGAATGAAGGCTTTGATGCTTCTGTGCGATTTTATTTCCATACAATGTCATATGGCTCTATTTATATATTATGTTTGTTTTAATATACACGCTTTGTGATTGTGTTGTTACTTCGAGACATTTTCAGGTGCACTTCTTGGTATCACACACCTTACTTCCATCATAAAACAGAGTTTAGAAATACGGGACTGGAAATATGGCAATAGCTTAACTGCGTTATTGCCCGACAGCTTTACTGTGCTGCTTTCTGTATTATTTTCATCAGAGGGAGCACCTCAAGATAGCGCAGCAATTCTTCCAACTTGTGGGAGGGTCGGCTAGCGAGTGTGGTGAGTTGACACGATTTCTGCTTTCATTGAGGGCTGCTACGCGACTTGCTGCAACATAAATTCAAAACGGACCGAAAGCTTCTACCAATCTGTTGACAGGCCAATAAATATCAATGAAATTAATTCAGTAAATTAGCAGTTTTTAAAAATAAATTGGGATCATACTTTAGATTTGCCACCACATATGTATTCCACAACGCTTCCTTCCACTGACACGAAAAAAACCCCAAAAAAACAACGCTCTAATGAATTCTCTTTTCTTCAAACAATGAATTTTCAAGCCGACAGCAATTCATACTAAGCTCGAAATATACTTCTTGCACCGCCTCTTTTATAAGCAATGCTTTAATTGCTGTCAGTTTGACATTTAAAAGCACATGTTCATAAATGAGAATTCAAAGACTGTTTGCATTGTGGCTACCCCTTTTACTTTTATGCAGACACGATTCCTGGAAGACAGTGCATGGCGTCCTGCTTTTTCCTTCTGAAGCAGTTTGACGATGTTCTACTCTACCTCAATTCCATCAAGGTAGCCTTTCTGTCCGTTCTGTGCTGTCTCATGTGCACAATTGCCTATGCAAAAGGCTTCAATTTCTTTATAAAAAAAAGACATATGTGCAATAAATATATACAGGGTGTTCCTTAGTGCGATTTTGGCGTAAAATCATTCGTTTTTCATAAACCAATCAATGGAGTGCATTTAAAATTTTCACAAGGGTTTCTTTAGGTCATGCATTTGTCACACTGAAATTTTATAAGTGTAAGTTTTATAAAAAAAAATTGAGCCTAAAAAAGACGGCAGTTTGAACGTTTTTGCCTTAATGTTGTGACGTCTGTGAGTATCAGCGCGAACCAGCAAACGGTTTTTGTCATTTTTCTCCATGTACATAGGAAAAAACAGATTTTTTAGGCTCACATTTTTTTTCCGGAAACCTACGCTCTTATTACTTGACCATAATAAATGTGCCACCTAAATACACCTTTGTGAAAAGTTTCAATGCACCCGATTTACTGGTTTATTTATACAAATATCTTTACGACCAAAGAGCGCTCGGAAACACCCTGTAGTTGATGTTGAACTTTCTTTTTCCAAAGAGATGCAAAATCATTAGCTTTGGTCCTTTAAAAAATATATACAGTAAACAACTAAATTTTTGCGGGGACCTAATTTTTGCGAGTTTCGCGAATCGCCTACAATTCGCGAAACATACGTCCCGCGAACAATTCGGGCAATATGTGAAAGCTACACTCGATTTGCGAAAATTAAAACCCGCAAATAATTTCAAATTTTCAGCTTTGGCCCGATTCGCAAAAATGTGAGCCCGCGAAAATTAAGCCGTTTACAGTATTCAGTTCTCAGCGTCAAAGTGTTGTAATCATGAGAACATTTTAAAGGACCCCTGAAAAGAAATAAAAATGTTATTTTAAACAGTCTGGTTGGGACACACGTGTCAAAAAATTAATTTTACATGAAAAAAAAATCTTTTTTTTAGCAATATTGACGGCGTAAGACGCGATTTAGTCAGTAGTCACCTCCTTTCCACTTGTTTTTTCTCTCAGCATTTTGGGCACGTGGAGGATAGGCTTCGCCTTCACGTTGAGGTGGAAAGAGCGAAAGACCATCTATTGAGGTCAAAAGAGCAAATGACCATTTCGTGACGTCATGGACTTTGCGCACAAAATTTGAAATAAATCTCTCGCCGTCACTATTGCTTTGAAAAAATTTTTTTTTCACATAAAATTTATGTTTTGACATGCTGTCCCAATTAAATGGTTTTCAATTTTTTTTTTTTTTCATTTCAGGGTTTTTTTAAGAGAGGCAATAAGACCTCTAACAGGAATAATCTTGTTAAAGAAAATTTGGGTCTCACCGAATTTCACGCATTGACCAATTTCATTTACAAGTTGAAGGAAACCTATGGGCTGAAAAGCATTATAGAAGGCTTGATATAATGTTTCAAAAGTAATTAAATGTGCAACATCTATCATCCTTACTTTTATCAGTTCAGTATCCATAGCATTGGCAGGAGAGTATGTTATCTTAGGAGAGCGATTACAAAGTAATAACATTATACCAATGTTAACATTAAAATGAGCACAGTGACACAGCTGAACTTTACTCCTAAAGATTACTGTAAAGCACCGTAAGATCCCAAAGAGTTTCTGCCATATGCTATCACCTATTTCGAATGCGTAGCTATAGGTTCACTCATGATATTTCATAGCGTAAACAAACTCTGAGAAACCACCATTTGTACTCTAGAAACATAAAATATAGTATGCACAAATGGCATATCATGAGTTCGCTGTTTGGAGAATGTTGCGTTTATTCTTTTCAGAGCTACTTTTACAGTGACGACACCTTCAATTTTAATTACGCCCAGGCTAAAGCAGCTACTAAGAATTTCAAGGAGGCTGAAGAAGTAAGGTGTTCTCAAGTACTCTTTCATCACACCAATTATATTTTGAACCAACTGTAAAAAAAAATGCTATATAAAAAAAAAACTCATAGCTATTTAAATAGCTTTGACATGGGTCTTTGGAAGCAAAAAGTTCCTAAAGCTTCATTCTTTTGGAAACGGCAATATTGACCTTACGGCTGTTGCTTTTTTTAATCTACTAGGTTTCTAATTTTCTGGATGAATATTTGAGCTATAAATCAATTTATAATGTCTATGCAATTTGTAATGTCTATGTTGAAAATCTGCAGGAGGGATATCTGAGCACCTAGGGCAGAAAGAAATATAACTCTTCCTCAAACATGCAGCTAAATGCGCGAAGCATACAATGTTGAGAGCAGATTTCTTAATATAGGTTTAAGAAATTTTTAATTGATCTTTTGTTTTATTACTTGTTAGCCACACATTGAGCACTGAACTTTAATGTGCGATAAAATCACTAATAATGGACTAATCTTAAAAGTGCTTCCAACATTGTATTCTCTACACTTCATAGTATCTAGCCATGTGTTAAAAGGGATATTTTGTTGGTTAGTGTTTTCTTTATTGTTGCTCCAAAAAAAGGCAGGGAAGTTTTAATTACCTTGAAGAGAATTCTACTGACTGAGAAAACGACCATATATTTGAAATCAGCACAAAAAGCTGAATAAGCTTGTTCAGTTTCATTGGGTGTGGTCATAACATGAGAAAAAAAGCTCCAAAACCAGTGTTCCCCCAGAATATATGCTTTATCATTCAAGTTGTGACAGTTTCTAACATCTTCAAATGATGCATAGTACAATCTCGTAGCATGTAGAAAGTATTTAAGGTTGGCTTCACATGAAGGGTAATGCCTTTACAATGCAGTCCTTCGCTGGATTTACTCTTACGATAAAATGCTACCTATAGTAACTAGCTATTGCATTTCCAGACGTTCCTCATGATCCAAAATGAGAAAATCAAGTCAAGTTACATCTACCAAAGCTGGCTCACACGATGCTGTAAGTTTCTACTTAAGAATGGTTGCAAGTAGATGCTCAAGCATCGGCTAGAAAATTATATAATTACAAGATAGATAGATATAGAAGATGTAATACTTTGGCCAACCTTTTAAGAGTTTCCCATTCTGCATATTTTACAATGCTTCTCCTTGAATAATGGTCAAATCAATTTATGGTAGAGACTAGAGTCAGTTCATTTTAAAGTAAATCAATTTCTAATTGTATAAAATTCCACAACTAATTTGACTAAGAGCATCTGTGAACATGCATAGAACAACATGAAGACATGGCTTGCCTTGGAGTGTGCATCCACAGTTCATGCCACTTATTCTTGTGTGTCCTATTCTCTGTCTGTCCAGACATTATGAATGGAAAGCCAAAGCAAGCATGGGACCTCTACCAAGAAATGGATGCCTCCAGCGAATCTTTCAGCTTGCTTCAGTTGCTGGCAAATGATTGCTACAAGGTGGCTATGGACACCATTTCAATCAATAGACCGGTTGCCCTGTACAGTTTGCTCTGCCGCGATGTGTGGCTGCCTCGCGTGAAAGCTGGCATTTCTGCGGAAGTGCTCAGCATTTATTTATCTTATTTTATTTTACAAAGCCAAAGGGAAACCAGCAAATGTTTATTCCATCCATTCATCCATTAGTTTTACAACATTATGAATGTAACCCAGTGATGATGGTAGGATTGCATCAGAAAGTATGAACTGTCACGAAACGCGATATTGAAAAGAGATAGCAGAAACATCTGCATGAATGTTAACATACAATAATTTAGAACAAGCATGCAAACTGTTTTTTTACCATGTTCTGTAACCTGCAATGCACATGTTAAAAACAACATTAAGTAACAATTTCATGATGTGTCCGAACCATTCATTTAATATTACTTGCCGCCGCAAAACACATATAGTGGTGTTTTGCACATGGGTGAACCGTTACACATTTAATATATTCTTTGAAATCGTAATTTTAGCACGTGTCTTCTTTATATATATCTGTGGCACTTGAAGCATCATCTCTTACCAGATTCGCATGGAAGTTCCGCTTCCCAGAATGCTAGTACATTTACACGTCACAGGCAGGCTTTGACAGGCTCGATCATTGGTATCGAAAATACAGAAAATAATGATACTATTATTATTATTATTTGCTCATGCGTGTTGCAGATGGGCCATTTCCTGTATGCAGCCAAAGCGTTTGACCTCCTCGAAAAGATGGATGCAAATCCCGAATACTGGGAGGGAAAGCGGGGTGCCTGCGTTGGAACCTTTCAGAGAGTTGTGGCCAACAAAGAATCCACGTGAGTGTTGCTTGCTGTTTTCCTTAGCTCTTTATCCGCCTCCCCATGTCACGGAATCGGATCACGCGATTGCTAGAGAAATGCCACGAGGAAAAAAACCAAAAAGACTGGACTCCGAAATTTTGGAGTTGCAACGCTGCCCCCAACGAAGAGTTAGCCAAGAGGCGAAAATCAGCTTTGCTAACGCCGTCTTCAACGAGAATATTGAGATTTTGACATTTGCAACACCTTGCACTAGTTGATGTTTGAGCTGCTAGATAAATATAATAGTTGGATGTAGTTTTTTTAGGTAGTTTTATTTTCTAGCAGATTTATGGCCGGTTCACACATACACCTCAGCGCAACTAATCGGTGCTGGAAATAGTGCTGAGTTTGCTGACGCAGTGTCCACTTTGCATTATATTAGTGGTACAGTGTAGCATCAGTGTTAAGTTACGTTCAAGCGAGCATGCGCCACGTCAGCGCTGTTCCTTGTGTTGGTTTAGGGCTGTGATCTACGTGTGAACCCGCCCTTAGTGGAGATATGCCTCACTGATTGCATGGAAGGTAGTTTGTTTTCGTGCAATGCAGAAAAAGAAATTGACTTTATGAACTATCAATATGAGCCCGAGCTACTGTCGCACCGTATTTAGACTTAAGCAAGGAAACTGCTCATGCTGCTGCTGAATGAATTCATAAGTGAGTAAACATGGCTTTCATTTAATTTTTATGAAATTTGCGTTGTACGTTTACGCAGCCGTAAGTTAGTCAGCTGCAATGGGCGTCTGATGTTTCAGCTGTAGATGAGCAATTCAGCCAGTGCTAGCCTGGGGTCTTTAACGTGCACCACGCAGTAGTGATACATGACCACCGGTACAATGCTCATCCAGATCGAAACGGGCACGGGTGGGGATTGAGCACAGCATCCTATTTTTCCGACGAGATGCTTTTTAACCTTTTCTCAAGTGCAGTACGCCGATTATAGGAAATCATTTCCCGCAATCGGCATATGGGACCCAATCGTCAGCGGTTTCTTCGCAATCACTTTGCAGGGAGTCACTGCACGAAGTGCTTCAGATGCTGAAGACTGCCAGCAACCCACAGGCTGAGTCTGTCGGCAAAGTCATCCGGAACTGGTGCAGGGAAAACAGAATCGGGACATCCTAACTGCCCTTGCCGAATTTTATTAGAGATTGTTCTTTCCGGCACCAGACGTCTAAGCCGTGCTGGCAACGGCATTTGTACTGCATTCCGTTTCAGGTGTCGCTTGCTCCTTTGGCTCTTTGTTCGCTTCTGATAGCTTCTGTATGATCAAAATGATCTACAAAGAGACAAATTGTATATTAATGTATTGTGGTACGAAATTTCAACATTTTCTGAGCTAGGTCAGCTAGGTCATCTGGCTGGTAATACATGATGAGCTCCTTAAAGGCTGGTGCCATCTGCTGGGGAGCCGTGGAAAACTTACAGTTTCCAAATGTTTCCTATTTCCTGTGCGCATCATTCTTTCTATTTCGGCTTGAAAATCTTTTGACAATGTTTTGGACGACCATTTCTCAAATAGTAGTATATACATTTAATCCCGCAAATGCCGAAAAACCTTTACTCTAGCAAGACACAGTTCCGAGGTCACCTTATAGATGGCGCCAGCGTATTCTTTCGTCGTAAGAGATCGCAAGAACTCGATACTAAGCAAATGCAAGTGTGTCAATGGGCCTTTACAGCATGGCTGCTCTAAAACAAAATTGCACGAACGTTGCAGTAAATTTAAAAGAAACCGGTACTAGACCTAACAAATTAAGCGTAACAGAGAATACTGTTATGAACGAAACTGGTTCTGTGACTAAGCATTATGTGTAGCATTCTGCCCTAAAAGAAACTGGAGCAATGTTTTCGACTTTTGCCTGAAGTTTTTTTTAAGGCAGACACTTCCTTGCAACGCAGAAGAGCGCTGTTGAGAAGCACACTTTTCGGGTGAACAATGCTTTTGAGCATTTAGACGTGCACAATACATTTATTTGGCTGAAACTGTCAGAAATAAAATATTGCCAATAAAACCGGGCATTATTTCTGGAATGGTTGTCTTTGAGGTCTCAAAGCTGTGAATCTTTATCGAGTGAATGTTTCATACTATAGAGACCTCTTACCTAGGGCACATTTTGTCTCTTCAGAGATTTTTGCAGCGATTAAAGGGCAACTCCAGTCGAAAACGAAACCAAAATAAATTACTGGTATCGCTTTAGTGGCACGAATTATGATCACAGCCGAAACATTGCATGAAGCCGCATACTCCACTAAAACCGATTTTCAAGATGCGACTAGCTGCTCTTTAGCAGGCGGCAAGCGGGATAGCTTTTAGTCCTTGGCGCAGCACACTTGTGACGCCACGTCGCGGTGTAACTGCAGTTGATTGGTTGTACCGCGTATTGCAGCACCCTTATGACGTCACGTCGCGGCCGTATGGCTGATGATCAGTGTTGCCATCCCTCTAGCAGACAGTTCCGGTTTTGCCGTAGATGCCCAAAACCAAACTTTGAGCCGTGATATTTTTAAAACTATACACAATATCGAAAAAAAAAATATTATACCTTGCAATTCAGGGACACTGCTTTAGCTGAAAACAGTCCTAATCCCAAATTAAAAAATACTGATCGGAGTTGCCCTTTAAGTGCTACCTTCTCAAAATTGCCAAAATTTCTCTTAGGTAAAAGATTAGTTACCTATTGTTTTCTTGCACAAATTATGTGTGCGCATGTGTATGTGTACACAGTCTTACTATAAATAAATGTCAGTTCAAGTAACGTATAAAACTGAGACCTCCTGTGATCACTGTAGCATATCTGTTTAGGTACCCAAGCTTAGGTATGCATAAAACTATGGGAGGCTTTCGATAATTCCAACTTGGATATTTCATATTTTTGGCTAATTCAAACAAATTTCATAATTTTAGTTTTCCCCTGTTTTCAATGCATTTATAAGTTACTTAATTCAATCAGTGTTTTTGCGTAAAGGCTTGTTCACACACTTGCATTTGACTATGGTCTTGTCTCCGTCGTAATCAAACATAAGTGTTTGTGCAGGTCTTAATTCATTCTTTTTGTTCTCGCAACCCCGTTCAGTGCACTTCTCACAAGGAGGTTACAAGTACTAGGAGGGGGCACGCTGCAATATTGGTGAAGCCTAGTCATAAAACGTTTAAACAATGTTGTAACCAACGTGACCGCAGATCTCTTTGGCGATTGGCGTGCGTGACATGTCACGTGTGAGATGGATGGTTGAATGTAGAAGGATTCCTTGCAGGCTTCCGCGCGCTCCGTCCGGTAGGTTTTATCAGATCGAAGGCTACACGAAGGCTAGCTACGGTCACGTGATCTAGTCACGTTGGGCTGATAAGTGAGGAGAGTAAGGAGGAAAATGAGAAAGAGGCAAGGCGTCAAGGGAGCATGGCTTGTGGAGGCTACGCGGCTGGCGTCATGCCCTCTCCTACCCTTCTATCCTCCTTGGCTTCTCAGCAGTGCGCTGGTGCTCGGTAGGAAGCGCACTTAACAGGGCTAATAGCTCCACAACAGACAATTTGTTTGCTGGATGAACAAACTTAGTTTTGTTTTGAGGCGTCATCTGCCTTCTAAACAGTTCACGATGGACGACATATTTGAGGGATGAATAAAGTTTCCAAACATTCACCCATGTTTCAGGTGTGGCATACCTGCTTATGATCAGTAGGCCTATGCAGAGCAAAATAATCAAGTATCTGCTTCGTATGATATAGCCATCCATATAACAAATTATAATTTTATCTTGCATCATATTTAGATAATTATCTGATAATTAAAAAAAAAATTCGTGGCTTCGTGGAGGTTTAATTAAGGAGAGTCTACTGTTTCATAATACCAAACTAATGTAAGGTTAAAAAGTGTGTTAGCCAGACCTTCCGAGCCTTCACTTGGACAGGACCGACCGACTCATCTTGAAGTTGCTGCAGAGAAGCCAACAGCTGATGCGCTTGAGCTTCGAGGTCAATTAGGTTTTTCCGCAGCAGCGCTTCTATCATCACCATAGCCCTCTATCAAAAAAAAAAAAAAAAAACAACATTGGACAAGAAATTAAATGTAAAACCAAGAACACACTTAACAATCTAGCGTTTCACTCTTACTCTTTATATAAAATCAGCCAGACCAGTCGCAATCGTCTAATGACGCTCCTGATTTTTGCATACCACAGCTTTACAATATCCACCCTGTTACGATATGAGAATTTATCGGATGGATATTTTACTGTACGGACATTTTGCTGTCTAAAAATTTCACCATAGTGAAATATTACCGCAAAGCATATTCAAATACAATGTCAATAAATCCCAAAATTTACGTCTTATAGTGCAAGTAAACAGCACCTTCATATTGATACACCATGCAAAACAAACAAGCAAAGGTTCACACTACACAAAAATCCTTGAACTCGGACAATGTGTGGATAACCTGACCAGTCTCAAATGTTGGAAACTTGCAGAAACAGATACTTTTACATTTACCGCCTCGCGGACCAGTAAGACGAGTGTTGACAAGATTTAAAGCAACCCTCACATCGACACAATTTTTCTAGTTTGTTGTGCTTACGGCTGTATGCTAAAATAAACCGATGCAAACCGGTGAGCACCAGGCTTTTCAAAACCTCGTCACAGATCGTAGCGCTGCAGACGACAAAGATGCTTACCATTTGGGAGTTTTGCTGTCCACACAAGATCTGAGAAGAGAGCAACTCGACAATCTTCTCGCAGTTGAGCGTTGAACACCTGAGCCACAAGAATTAGTCTTAGTGCCTGGGCATGTGTTGATAAGACATGCATTGATCTTAGTAATCTGTTGGATAAGTGCCTGTTAATGCAATACCTACTCATACGAACAGTAAGTTGTCTGCTTCTTGCGCAGGGGTTACGGTGACGTCAGAACGACGCGGAGCCCTGATTCGCTTTGATTGAAAGGATAATGGGTAGACATCAATGGCTAGATGCCTCGAGGTCTACCCACTATTTTTTTCAATCGATCAATAAGAGCTCGGTTTCTGACATCATCGCAACCCCTGTGCAAGAACCAGACAAACTTGCACTCTGCATAAGCATTGTTAAACTCTTACATAAAATCTGCATATTATGAGGAGGTAAGTAGATAATCATGTACAGATGGCAAATATTAAGCCAAATTCGAATGTTTTCAATGTGGGTTTGAGGTAGAATTAAGTTTTTTTATGAGCGGAGCTGTTCCGAATGACTCGGATACTTTATTTTAGTATGGTTGGGAACAGTCATCTGATGCGACTTTGTTTGATGCACCAAATAAGTTCTTTATGCTAGTAGAGGGGCTACAAATGGACAATAATCTACAAGCAAGTCTCGAAGGTTTCGCTGTATCTCGTGTTGTTACATTAGTGGAAACTCGAGACTGGACTGAAAGAAGGAGAAGGAAACAACCTTTCGCAGATGTCCGTAATCTCTTTCCGTGATGGTGGGAAATCGAGCTCGGGGCCTGCAAAGGACTCTACGGCTTGGGCTTCCTTTTCGTAAAAGTTGGTCCTGAACAAAGGTGGTCAAAGTTACAACAAGCACATACTATCTCCAAAGTCGGTTACATGTTCCAGGTTTTACATTTTCCTTAATTAAGATGAACTACCAGATCAAAGGTTCACAGAAACTGCTGCATGAATGGTGGGAGAATTTGAGATATTTGATAAAAGGAGCTGCTGTTGCCTCTTAAAGTTGCTCTTAATGACTGTCATGGTTTGGGAGCTGATAAAATACTCGCTCAAAATCAGCAGACGTCAGGGTGAAACTCGCAATACTTCCGAGTTTGCACAGCAAGCTTTTACTCCATCTGCTCTGCGAAAAGGCGTTCTAGGTGATTGCTCCAGTGTGCTGCCTTCACCACATAACGCAGGAGCCCTGCGGCCAAACTGACCTGCCGAAAGATTTTTATCAGCAAGAGAAAAGAAAAACAGCTTTTGTTCCGAAAGAGGGATGCCCTTTCAGATTAAAGGCTGTCTTTAGAGCAGAAAAAGTATTGTCGAAAAAAAAAAAAAACTAAATAGGATGTGCTACTGATTGCATAGTTTTGCTCGGGGAGAAGAATTCAAAGTCCAGATTGTACGCACTGTTCTTGGATGTCGCCCGGGTGATCACTGCCGTGCAAGCTGCACGAGTCGCGAAGGCCTCCAGAAAGCTCTTCCTGGCTGCCATCATCATCACTGTCATCGTCGTCATCCCAACCGCCACCGACCCGCCCTCTCTTCCGAGCTGCAATTGAGTAATGTATTGTGTACCTTATTCTTCACAGCAGAGAGCCATGGCACTAGTTGAGTCATAGGATATTTCTTCTTACTTTGTAAGTTAAAACGAGGCAGGAACATAGAGGTGATTTTACAGCAACATTTATTTGCTGCAAGCACAATGCAATCTCTAATTTCCCGAGTTTGCATCCAGGGTCTTAAAGTCATATCGAAATTTCTGTGGCACACTCATTAAATCCCCTACTAGTTTGCATCCAAACTTTTTGAAAACATACTAGATTTTTTTTTTTTTTATAGATGCCTTCGGTGACGATATGGCATCAATAATGTTCAAAGATGGAATTTCTGACCAGCAACAGCAACGGATTGACACAAATCTATGTCGTAAGTCTTGCTTTCATGAACTTGCGTCCGTGCAGAACCATTTATGCCTTCGACAGCCTGTAGGCCCTTAAATAAATGCATGAATGCTAAAGCGTGTGCTCACTAGTATAACGTTACCCCTAGAGATGCATCGATAACCCATCATTTTATCAATCACGACAGCATAAAGACCCGTTCACGCTTGCGGTTGCTTAGGACCGAGGTTTTGCGATCTCTTACGACAAGAGAACAGACTGGCATGCTGACCCCATGTATGGGGTGACCCTAGAACTTTACTTCAACGCAGTAAGCGTAGAGGAAGAGACCCACGCTTTGCCGGCTTCGTCTTGGATCCGGCTTGGCTTCTTTCATCTTTCGGGACACTTGCCGGCTCTACCCGAACCGCTTGGAACTTGGGGAGGGCTTCGGCGAGAGAGGGGTCGGTCGCAACGTCGCCTGGCTTCCCTGCGAGCTTCTCCACCACCTTCGTTATCCCTTCGGTGACTTGTTCGCCCAAAGTTTCTTCGTGGGAGGAAACGGACAAAGTTTCAATCTTTCGGGTTGGTAATTGTACAAGTTGAGAGTATGGTTACCTTACAGCAAATATTGTATTTTCTCTGCAAAAGCTTACAACGCACTCGGTAACCAATTTATCTTGTCCAGTCGACTGACACATTTTCAAAATCGTTCCCTATGTAAAGAAGCCGATGTTGGGAAGAATTAGATCGGCTTTCTCGGGTTTAAATGAGTCGGGCACACAGCCGTGGGGCAATGTTATTACAATTCTTTTCATGCTGTTTCAATCTGCAATGTCTTGGGGGCAATGATGACCTACTACTCTTGTCGAAGTTTAAAACTTTCAAATTTGGGGATACAAGTAAATTTCATTACCTCATTTGCTTTCACACTATTTTTACTTTTTTTTTTTAGTCGGAGAATGAGAACCTACCCTTGCCCAAGTATGAGACCTTCTAATGCGTTCGGAAAATGATGAGGAATACTTGCTTTGCGCAACTGGCGCATTTCCGAAGCCTTCGTATTTTCCTGACGTGAAGGCCGACGCTCCAAGGCCACTCAGAGACTTTTTTTCTAGAAAAGGGATAAAAAAAATTCACATCATCACATTAAAGAGCAAGACGTCACATTGCTGACACACTCCATTGAAACGACTATTAAACAAATTTAAAATGCAGTTTCAGTAGTTCTATGTAACATACTTATACTGTTTGTTCATATCTACATGATACTGTGCATTTATCTGCACCGGTTTTGTTTCATAAAAGTTTTTGGTATGCGTTGCTTTTATAACTGACATCTATAGGTGCTGAAGCCTAGATGAGCCTCCTTCTCCAGTTGCGGTAGTCAACCAAGGCAAAACCAGGTGTTTGGAGACATACCTTCATTTGATGCAAGTTGATGACTGCTGCCTGCTGACGACGGTCCGGAAATCGGACCCTCCTCATGTATTGCATGTAGCAACTCCTACAAAGGAATAGCTCAATCATTCCACTCAATTTCAGTATAAGAACTAAGAAAAGAACATTAGATAAGAAATAAAGTTTAGAATTATGCAGGGGTTGTTATGTTTTCAAATGAATACCTTCGGGACTTTTTATCCTAAGACATAATTACAGAGTAAATGTGCTAGTATAAACTTGTGTCACAGGAAGGATATCCATGTTAATAAAACTATTAACATGGATATCATGGATGTTATTTTGTCTTTTTTTTTTTCTTTTCGGGGTTAAATATGTATATATCACGTAATACTTTAAATATTGTACTGCTTTTTTTTTTCTTTTTGTATATAGTGTTTTTGTACACGGCACGTGCCCTCAGTTATTAGTTATTGGTGATAATTTTTGTCAGTATATTGTCATTGTTAAATTTATTATCACTTTTTACGTGCATTTAGTGCTCTTGTTTTCTATTTTTCGCTCTCGGCGCAGTTTGTATTTAATCTTGTAACCACTTTATTGTTCGTAGCTCTGTTGGAGGTATGAATCATATTCTTTATTTTTGTGTGTGTGTGTGTTTGTTCCTCCCTGCTACGGTTCCACGGACCAGCAGTACGTACAAATAAATAAATAAATAAATAAATAAATAAACATTGCTATTCTGGTTGAAGTGCTTTGTCTGTGATGTACCCTTCCAATATGAGGTTTGAGACCCACCTTCGAGATTTCGCGTATCCACTGATTGACGGCCTGCGAGCCTGAAATGTCTGCAAACGAGGAACAAGCAGCACAGGAATGTCACTGGTCACAATACTGCCAACATTTCAAACATTTCTGGTGCCACAGTGTACAAAGGCAATTAAGTCGCCGACCCTGAGTCGTCTGCACAAGTCACTCAGGAAAGGAGCACACATCTCTTCTCTCGTTTAATAATAATAATAGTAATAATAATTTTATTGCAAATGAACAAAGCAAGTGTGAAGCCAGAGCTGCCGTAGCCACATTGGGCTTGACCGGCACCGTCTTACAATCAGTGAAACCAGCCGTATGCAAAAGGAAATGTGTGAAATAAAATCCACACAAAGAAATTAGAAAAAAAAAAAAGAACTAGTGAGCACTTTTTAAACTAAAATTTCTCAGAGCTTTCTTGAGCTTGTATTTTGTTCTTAAATTAAGAATACTAGAGGGTAGTTTGTTCAGAAATGCTGGTACATAATAACTACGAGCTCTTTTTCCAAATCTTGTCGAACATCGAGGCATCCGGTAACGCTTTTTGGGTCTAAGAATACGAGGAGGTAAATATAAAAAACTTTACATTGACTATCCGAAAAATGCCTATGAACAAAAGTTTCCATCAATAGCGAGTCGAAATCAAGCAAATGCAATGTTTTAAATGTGTACACGTCCTTCCCTAATCCCAATGCATAAATCGTAAGAAATGTCCTTTAACAAAGAACGTAGAATCTAATTAATTAGAAATTTCCAACGGAGAGCGCAATGTAGACTAGAGCATGTGCAACCATTTCTCGAACGGATAGTGGCATAAAATATCTAACAAACAAGACACAGCACAAATTTTCTTTCATACATATGAGCAAAATGAAGCTCCAGGTTAGGTCACTGTCAAAGAATAAGCCAAGATATTTTATAGAAGATGTATGCTGTATAGGCCCACATACACATGATAGACATCCAGATGTATGTAATCATAAACAAGAGGTCACATAAACTTTTTTCAAAGGGTTGTGGAAACATAAATTGCATTTTGAATGCATTCACTTTAATTAAATTAGCTTCAAACCAGTTCATAGTTTTAATTGCCGCAGTTTGTAAAGACGAAAAGTCATCTGAATAATTGGACGCTCTAGATAAAGCCACGCTTGAAAAAGAATGCGACCAAAAGCCACACAAAACAGGCTATTTTCCATTCTCAGGAAAGAGTAAAAAGCTGAAAATTTATGTGGTGCAGACTATCTGCAGTTCCGGATTTCACAAGAATTAGCGATGCGCGCCAGCCAATGGGGCCGAAGCCGAAAATTCATCAGCTTTACTCCGCTCCTTTGGGACCGGGGAAACTGAGTGCCGTTGTCTAGGCTTTTTGCGTGGTAGCTGGCTTCACTTGACGAAAGGATTTAAGGTGCCGTTTTTGCGCTTCAAACTGATGACGTCGGCTCGCTCAATGGGAGAGTTAATGCTTTCGCATTAAAATAGAGCACACCAAACTAGCAGCAGCCGTCTAAACCTAAACCTGTGCTGAGGAACTGTTAGTGTTGAGGAAGTGCAAACTCACTTGACGCTGTCCTTATACTTGAGTCCTTCCTCTGGAGCAATCGTTTCAGACTTGAGTGCCCGTTCTGGAGGATGTACTGAAGGATTCTCAGGCACTGGGTGTGGGGGGGTGGGGGGGGGGGGGGGTCCAAGGGGAATTCGGCTGTGAGGCTTCCTTTCGTTTTTGCTAGGGCATGCTTTATTCAGTGAGCTAAGCTCATAGTGAAGCAAAAACTTTGTCCTGAAGGGGCACTGAAGTGAATTTTGAAATTGATTTCTTATGGCAAAAACTCAATTTTGTCGCCTAAGCACCCCCAGAACCCAGAACTATTATCATGCGTTGCATCTTTTCATACTGAAAAATATGACCAAATATTGCATTGCTCCCCTTTCCCAAGGTATACCTCAGAAATAGGGAAAGGTGGGGGGGTGCCACAATGTTTGGCTGCTTTTTTAAGAGAGAAAAAAAGGTTTCACATGATTGTACTTTTCGGTTTTCTGCGACGCTTAGGGCATACAGATCGAGTTTCCACCGTAAAGGTTCAATCTCAAAATTCACTTTAGTGTTTTTTTACCGTAACCGACTTCAAAATCGTCGTAAAAGGAACGAGTTTCGAGGGGAAGCACATTAATTAGTGCATCTCTTTCAAATTAAATAATGTGCTCCGAATTTAGGCCAATCCAAATTTGGAGCTATGGGGCTGGATCTGATGATGGCTGCCCACCCAAAATGAACATTTTCTTACATTTCTTTCATTTATCAAGTGCTGTTATGGCCTTGGCACTGACAGATGTTTTAGATAATAAAAACAGCGCAAAAAGGATCAGATGTTTTAAGCCAGTTCAGATGTAAGGTTTATAATGCTTGCAATTGATTTGCTTTTTTGCCAGCATCTCTTGGAATACCACCAAGGAAAACAGTGTCCATTTGAAGATTTGCAAGCTCTTTGAATATGCCTTGCTTCGCATCCCCAAATGCGAGCAAGGAACTGGCAACTGTGGGAAAGCAGCAGGAAAGAACTTACCTTAACCTTGACATAGACCGTACCATCTTGAAGTTCACTCAGCAAGTAGTCAAGTACGGCATCAGCATGCTGTCCCTCATTTTCCAAAGTCATAGCTTTTGTCTATTGTCAGGGCAAAAGCAGAAACTAGATTGGAAGATTAGCTCACACCCAGTGTCAAGTCACTCAAGCTGGAATCTCTTTGCTGCAACATAAGCTTGGCAGACAAAAGAAAAGTTTCCATGAAGTCACCAAAACGGCAAACTATAGATGAAGCATCATACTTCACTGCTGCAGTCTTGAATTTTTGCAATGCTCTAATGACTAGTGTTTGACACAAACGTTCTAGAGGAAAGTTGTCCCGTTGTGATCAGGAATACAATGATGCTTTCTGCTTTGAATCTGGTCAAGCAAATACTGCATGGGCAGATTCTACATCGGATGCAGAGTTAAGGATACAGTTGATCTCCTTGTACAAGTATCCGGGCACGACTGCATTTGTGTTGGCAGTCGCTTCTGCCAATGTGGGGACCTAGCAAGAAGAGACAAGACAGAGCGGGTAAGCAGCATTCTTGAAGTCCGAAATACGTGCCTCTTATTTAGGCAAGAATCCGGAAGAGTCAGTGCCATGTCCAACACGAGGCACCGAGAAGTAAATGAGCAAAAGGAAGAACAGCAGACAATTATTTGTTAAAAGTCATGACTGTTTATTAAATTCTGTGAACAATAAGGGGCCCATGACGAAACATTCTTTGGAAAAAGTTCCAAAAATAGCTAGGCATTTGCCGACATCTATATGGCATTGTTCATGACCTTCAAATGACCTTCAACAGGGACAATGCTTTTCGGACGGCATCGAACAAGGCACGTCCAATCTCAATTACCTGACAACTCTAGGTAACAGTCAATACTGTTTCGGAGTTCTGAATAACAATAAGTTAACCGCATAGCTGCACAAGTTACACAGAAAATATGGCAAGTAAACAATGACAAAAACAAGCCCTTGTCTTTTCAGAGACGTGATGGTTATTTGCAAGTGATGTGCGTCCTACTCCACGGATGTATAGTTGCACAGCGTAAATACCTGCCTCAAGCTGCAACTGACAAACCCAACATTCCACGGCTAATTTTAAATAGGTAAAAAGTCCGTAAGCTGTTGGATGAGCTGTAGAATGAGCTCTTGCACTTAGTAACTCTAAACCGTCCTTCAGCACAGGGTAAAGGCGCCAAAGAAAGGCCGCTATATCAACCAGAAAGAGGTAGCAGACGGCAGCCTACATTTGTCTTCACTTTTGTACTTAGCAGACAATTTCTCTTTGAATTAGCCTACAATCACAATTGTATACTCGATAGGCAACTCAAGTTGCATGTGCACCCCAAGTTGCATGTGCACCCCAAGGTCAACACTCCCATGTTTTCAACGAGCATAACAAATTTTTGGAGTGGTTATCTACCAAAAAAGGCATCAGAAAAAAACAAAAACAGCAAAGCAGATCATCTATCTTGCTTTATCGTCTGCTTCACAAACGTTAGCAGACGGCCAGGTGAAACCTCCGGATCTAGTTTGCAGGCACAAGTAGGGAACCAGAGCTCTCAGCCCCGCTGTCGTCTTTTCCAGGCACTAACACACGATTGGAAGAAGTGTCGGCTTCTTCACTGACTGTTCTTCAAGCAGTAGCTGGGCAGAATTAGAGCCTTGGTTTCTGCAGGTCCAAGCAGATGGCTAGAGGAACTTTGTTTTGTTGTCCAGTTATCAGGCACTAGTAGATGTCCTCGATGAACCATAAGCATTGTCATCTGGTTTTCAGCCGTCGCCCTATGTGCTGTAAACACTAGCAAATGCTAAAACTAGTTTTAGCATTGCCGTCTGCTCACCAGGAACTAGCAGACGGGTCACATGTTACCATCCAGATTATGCAATTCTCTCTCAAGGATCGGTAAAACTGAGGTGCAGTCTAGATGAGGCGGGAGTTCCGTAGGTATCGTATGAGCACCTGGTGCACAAACTTGTACTGTGCCAGAGTCTGCACACTCAGCATCCGCTGCATCCTGACCAGTGTCAACACACGTGGCAGGTCCACAGGCACATTGTGGTCGAGGCAGAAGAGCAGAATGTCGCAGAGGATCACCACGCCCGAGCGACCGACGCCGGCCGTGCAGTGAACGACCGTCGGAGCATTCCTCGTCCTCAGCCGCTGGTCGTTCAGGGCCAGGCGGCGGACAGAGTCCACTTCTTCCATGAACCCGAGGAACCCCTGGACGTCTCCTGGAGTACCATGGTCTGGCCAGTCGGTGTAGCGAAGATGCCACACATTACGATGCGTGCAAGACACCCCCTGCGTCCTGCTCAGTACCAGACAGGTCGTCACGGCAACAGCTGATGACACAGCACTTTTTCTGACCACCCGGTATTCTCCAAACGAAAGGGCCGCCTCCTCGCCGTTGGCCTGCGGCCAGTACTGATAGCACTTTTCATGGCCTTGGTCGTCTTCGGTGTCAGTAAGCATGACCACGACGCCCACATGGTTCTCCCAGACCATCTGCCAGAAGCTCTTGGCGGTCGTCTGCATGGGACCCTGCGCCGCAATGTAGAAGCGCTGGCTATCGCCCACGCTCGCCGAGACGTGCGAGGCGTTGATGTAGCCTGTTCGGTTGTCTGCGGATGGCGTGAGACGCACCCTGTTCTCTTCGTAGGGGAGGACGTCGCTGAACCGGTTGCGCGGTATGTTTTCTAAGAGCAGGGCCGTGCTGAAGTCGGCATTTGGTTTGCGCTTAGCAATGTTCTCAAACTCCAGGAAGACCTGCCCATCTTCCAGCCGGCTTTCCAGGACGCTGTCGGGACGCTGGTCGCGGGGGGACGGGGGACACTCCGGTACGGGCGCATCGGTGCTTTGCATCGAAAGGGAGTCGGGGCGGGACAGGGTCAACGTCAGACCGTTCATCGCAGCCAGCATCATTGGTCCGACCGGCCGCGTTGCAGATGACTCCTCTTCGCTCGTCTGCCTCTCAGGCAGGGGCGGAGGGTTGCTCGGTTTCACCGCTGTCTGCTCGGTGGCGGGAACCGGAGACGAACTGACAAACACCTGGATCCTCTGCGGCTGCACGACTCCGGATACTTGCGCATTCCACGACTCCCCAACAGGAACATACGTTGGCAGGACCGGCTTCACATCTTCCACCGCACGTCCGTTGACCCACTGGTACTGGGCTAGGCTTGGCTCAGATCCCTGCGTCGGATTCGGTGTCAGGTGCCGCCGCGAAACCAGGTCAGGGCTGGTGCTCACTTGCAGGAGGTGGGAGTGATTTCGTGTCAAGTCCGGCGTGCTCGCTGTCGGCCGCTGGCTGTAGGGGTACGGCGGGGGCGGTTTGTGCTGGTAGTTGAGGTTCGCAAAGAGCTGCGCGGGGTTCATCTCATAAGACAGCCCCTGGGAGGTGAGCTCCGGCGTGCTGTATGTGTGCAATGGCGGTGCAAGAAGCGGGCGCCCATGTGCCACCCCATCAACCCGGTTGTTGTTGGAGAGGTCGCCGAACGACATTGAGTCTCCGAGCTCGGTCAAGTCGGCAAAGTTTCCGTACTGCGAGTACGAGAGGGGGGGGAAGGAGCGGGTTGCAGGACCGTGACACATTGTCCATTCCGTTGGGATGCTGGAAGACAGGCTTGTCCTGGACTTGTTCCGTTGACAGGTCGTTGAGGCTGCAGCTGGTGACGCCATACTTCGTAAGGACGGCAGTTTCGTAGTCTGGCGCCTGCCGGTACGACGGCAACATGGCGCGCCTTAGGTCCGCCATACTGTCCGAAGGCTGTGGTATGTTTGCGTATGAATGGTGCACGCTGTTTGCCTGACTGTCCGAATTTGTCGAGGCAGTCGCAGCAAAGCCGACATCAACTCCAATGGTGCCCCGCTCGTCAGTCGTCTGCTCCGTGGCGTCGCCCGCAGCCAGATGCGTCGCGGACGAAACACAGCGGTTTAGGTCATTCTGCTCGGGCTCCAAATGCTCCGACCGCTCTTCCGAATCCTGTCGGAGCGGATAGTTGACGCTGTTCTGCGTCTCCGTGTGGTAGACTCCGAGCTCATCCAGAGACTCCCTGCTCTCGCCGACGTCCGTCAGTTGACTGTTGCTTCCGACCTCCGACCCTGCAGTCCACTTGAAGCTCTCGCCGCCACTGCCACTGTTGTTATTTCCGCCGCCGCCAGTCTCGCGTGTCTCCTGCATGCTCATGAAGAACTTGTGCTGCTGGACACACATCTTCCAGATGTACTTTGCAGTCGGAACGTCCTCCAGCTGGAACTGGGCCGACCGGCCATTTTCCCGCCCCTCGATCTTGAAACTCTTCTTGTGGTGAATCAAGTCCACAATCTCGCTCCAGCGGTACGAAGCCGTCTCATTTGCCGTACCGCCACGATTGTACCGTGCCGTGACGCCTTCCACCGACACCCCCAGCACAGTCTCGTTCCCCGCGGCATCCTTGACGTCAAAAAGCTCTTCACCGTACCCTTCAAGCCCCTGTACCGCGATGATGTAGTACAGTTCCGCGAGGGAGTGGTGAATCCCTTGCAGGCTACGGTGGGCCTGGATGATCTGTTCCAGCAGCGCCTCCTGGTTTTCCTCTCCGCCTGCTACAGACTTGGGGAGGAGCACGAAGTTCTTGAGGTAGTCGGAGGTGTGATGTTCCGGTCTGTGGTCGCCAAACTCTGCCTGGAGGCTGTAGCTCGCTAGCTGAATAGCTTCATCCCGCGTGCAGGCGAGCTTGCCCTCGATCACGTCCGACTTGAGGTGCGAGAAGTAGTAGTACCGAGTCACATCGTTGTGCAGCCGATCGACGTTGAACACGTAGAACATGACACCGAGGTAAAGGCAACACTCCCGGGCGTATTTGTCGAGTTGTTTCTTGAGAGGCCGGTCCAAATCCACCCAGCGGAGGACGCCGTCTTTGGACGGGTAGCGCAGCCCGAAGTATTCGGGTTGGAGGATCTGCAGTCGCTGACACACATTCTGAAGACACTCCTTTCCGACGGTGCGAGACGACACGATGCATTCCACGGTGGAGTTTTCGAGGAGTTTGACGGCGATGACGCAGAGGCTCTTCGACACCACGCTGTAGTGCTTGCTCTTCTTGAGTTTGAGGCGGAACGGCATCTCGAAGCCGCTGACGGTTGGCCAACAACACGCGAACTGAGCGGCCGTCCCAGAAGCATCTTTCGATTTCCGCGAACCCTAGAGCATCACTCGGAAAGATTCCAAGCCTAGCGAGTCATCGCTTTCGCGGAGACGCGGGCGCGATATGTCAGTCGACGTAGCGGTAGGCCTAAAAACCAGTCGTCGCGGGCGTAGGTGGGGCCCGAGGACGTGCGATCGGCCGCAGAACTGCCACCCCAAGTTCGGTGTCGAGTCGGTGTGTGGCGCGGGATCACCCCTTTGTTATGGCTTATTGCGGTCACACTGGTATGCGGATGTGTTCTTTTGCGGAAATCGGTCGGTTAGGCCTAGTGCTCGGCGCCCCTTCCGAAGGGGACGAGGAAAAGTTTGGGAGTTTTAGGAGGTTCGTGGTACCTTTTTGAGAAAACTCAGGTCTTCTTTGAGAGCGGATTTCATTTTTTGCTTGTTGTTGTTGCGAAGCGACGGTCACTCAACTGACAACATGCTTGTTGTTGCCGCTGTCATGTTTACGAATTCTAATGGGCGTGCAGACGGCGCTAGCGAACGGTCCTACGCCAAAACAGCAGCAAATATTTTCTTTTATTTTTTAGAGCGATATGTTTTAAAACCTTAAAATAAGGTGTTAATCAATAAATATTCAATCATTTAAATTTCTAAAAACAAAAAAGAATACTACAATAGACACGGGTGATTAGTTTCGTTTTCGGTGCGCGCTATGAGAGTAGGTTCCATAATTAGTTTAATCTTCATTTATAAAATAGATAGAGAAATATTGTAGTTGACACCGCCACACATTCAAATGAATAATTTATTCAAAAACTGCATGCTCCATTTTTTTTTTTTTTTTATTCCGCACATTATTAAAGTGGTGCAGAAATTCGGCCACGCTGGTGATCATCTCGTATGTCAGGGCATGACTTCCAAGGTTTAAAAGTACACTAGTCAAACGATGCTGGGCAAGAATGACGAAAATAATCACTGACGAAGGGGAACAAGGGGGGCAATGGACAATCACAAATCTCCAAACACAGCTATGCCCGTTTTCACCTCAAGAACCACAGTAAAACAAGTCCGGCTTCTCGCGGAGCATTACTGATTTCCCCTTTTATGTAGAGAATTAAGATATACGTAGGTGAATTGTAGATTAGATATATGTTGTCTTAGCAAGACGTTCACGTTCCAAACGCCAAAAGCCTCGCGTTTTCCTCAGATAACCGAGTCTCGTAAGAACTACTTCGCGCCGCGCATGAACAATGCGCAAAACTTACTTTTTTCTTGACGTATGTGACCCCCAAAATCCGCCTGGTCCTGATTTCGAACCAGCGACCTCTCCATTTCCAGTGGTGCGCTCTACCAATTTGATGTAACTAGGCGTTAGGCGTCAGTATGGCAAACGGGTTTCGTCAACTGCCACCAGTCAGAGCGCTTCACTGGAAATTGAGTGGTTCCTGGTTCGATACCAGGACCAGGTGGATTTTTTTCGGTCGCGTACCAGTCACCTAGGTGCACGTGTGTTTGGTGATTTTTGTTTATCCTTTGTCCTCCTAGGTTCGCTTCTCCAGGGATTATTTTCGTCGGTAGTCGTACACGAGTCATACTCAGGGGCGTAGCCAAGGGGAGAGGGGGGGGGGGGGGGGGGGGGGGGGGGCTTATGGGGCTTCATTCCCGCTCACCCCCCCCCCCCCCTTTCCCCCTGCCTGCCGAAATCCATTTTGACCACCCCTCTCCGCACCCCAAGTCATGGACATCCCAGCCACCTCAGCCCCCCCTCCCCCGAAAAAAAATTCCTGGTTACGCCACTGGTCATACTGTAAAAATCTTTCGGGTGCCACTTCAGCGGGTGTGCCAAGATTGGGATAGCCACAGGGCACCCTATGTCCTAGGGAAACAGGGGAACTTTTCACAAAGTCGGAAATTCCGCATCCATGTCCTAGGGAAATTCGGTCCCCAGTTGGCCCCCTTTCGCTTCCCTCTTTGGCTCCGCCCTCACACTTGCTCTCAACCTGTTGCATTTCGCGCATGCGCAATTGCACTGTTTCCTCCTTTCTCCTGCACCTTCCACTGACAACGCACGCAAACCTGCACCGGGACGTCCCAAAAACGTCGAAACGTCACCTCCTTTCCCCTACTCTTTCCCGCTTTGAGAAAAGCGAGGCGAGGAGGAAAAACTTTGGCACGGATAACTTTTCGGCCGGCGCGCAGAGAGACGCGAAATCTCTTGTTGCCGTGTTCTCCGTGGCCGCCGGGCTTGAGGGGCCAGTGTGCTGCGATGTCCACACGAAGGGGTCGGGTACGCACAGCGTCTTCGACGATGCCATGAAGCTTCTGAGCTTCCGAAAAGTGACGCAGGGCACCGCCCTAGCCCTTTTTCTGGCCGCGTTCTACGCGGCAGTGCTGTTGCTCGGCTGGCCGCCCCTCCGCATCGAGTTTCCATCTTCGCCGTCGACGGCGGTGGCAGACGACGTGCTCGCAAGTCAAGATGGCGGCGCCCTCCGTCGCAAAGGCGCTGGTGCTCCGAGCAAGCTGGTGTTCCTCAAGTCTGCGCCGGGCTTCCACGAAAAACCGTCGCGTGCTCCGACGAAACTGCAGAACGGACTGGAGTATTCGGATCAGGCCTCTGGCGAGGACTTAGGCGGTGAGGGAAGTGCTAATAATAACAGTAATAACTACAATAACAATAGTAATGCCAACAACGCATCCGCGTTGGTGGAGCGGTCTTCTGGTGAACGGACGAGACTTGAGGATGTGTTCTTGAGTGTCAAGACGACGCGGACTTTTCATCGCAGTCGCCTAGATGCCATCCTCAAAACGTGGTTTGTGCTCGCTCGGGAACAGGTGAGAATGTTTCTGTCTTGGCCGAGTTACAGTTGCTGCAAGTCTGCAAATTCAATTCGCGTATGTTAAAAAAAAAGAAAGAAAGAAAAAAGAAGTTGATGTGCTTCACGTGTGATCTCTGATAATATTTAGAGATCGTGTAAGGAATCACGCAGGTTTTACAGGTGTTACGCAATGTAAACATTGCAGGTGTGCAAGAGCACGTGACGGTCGTAAACTCGCAATACGATCCAAAAATGGACACATTTTATTTTTCAAAATGTTCTAACTTGACCGCACGTTTCCCAGAAACGTAGATCAGGCAGTATACCAAAGTGTGCTTGCATTGTGCACACGCACTGAAAAGGTTCATCAAATGGCCAACTCGCTTCTTTGCACCTATGAAGCCTCACAGACAGTCATGTTTCTGAGTCCCTGGACCCCTTGAACCGTTAAAACCCTGACCTTAAAACCGTTCAAACCTTGTCAGCCTAGACATATGAGGGGAACGCGCATTCAATCCTTCATAGGATCATTTCTTTAGACTGATCGCCGAGATTTCCAGCAGGTGCAACACGAACGCGTGGTTTTATTGAATACTGTGTTCAGATTCTTGTGGTGCCACGGTACGGTCACTAATGAGTCCATAATTATATCAGTTAGACCACCAAGCTTCGAACACAACCCTTTTTTGCCTTTGTGAAACTAGCACGGCGCAATTTTGAAATCGATGTCATTGTGTTGACGCTTTTAGACCCTGATTTTTGCATCTCCAGATTTCTCGGAGAATTTGGAAACATAACTCGGAGTAGACTAAGTGCATTCATAATTCATTTATATAGACGTAACTCTATTTAGAAATAATGCGTAGTCCCCGACGGCCAAAGAAACTCGGGCTTAGTATGTTAATGAGCCGCGATTCCGTCTTTGGCCTTCCTTATCGATCAATGCCAGCTCCCCATTGGTCACAAAAACAATAATAAGATTTTCGGGACTACCCTGCTCTTCTTAACATATACTTTCAAAACAAACTAAAATTTGTTCGTTAACTTTTTTAATTTAAGAAAATAATCATGGTCCGACCTTTTTTTCGACTGGGATTCATCGAAAACCACTAAAAAGGCCAGGGAAGCGCAGCTCTTGTTTAGTAGCTTTTGTTCACTGCTGTCAAGAATATATATATATAACGAAGTAGATCAAGCAAAAATAAAGTAACGCAGGAATAAATACAACAAAAAGGCTAGAGCGACCACCAGCCTGTGAGCTGCCCGAGGTGAACGCAAATAGTGATTAACAAAAAATAAATGGGCGAAGGTCTAATTAGAAAGGGTCGGCAGTCGTTCGATAATTTTCCTCTTTCTTATCGATATTCGAGTTGCTGCGTCGCAATTTGAGTGCGACTGCCCCGAGAATACATTAACGCCTGGACGATGTCTGCTGGCGATAAAGCGAGCTGTAACTACACTTTGTATGCGTGCGCTGTCAGGGCACTCAAAATTCGCACTGCAGGTACGCAGATAAACCTCGATTGATCATCGCGACTTTTTTTTTTTTTTCTTTTCCGTTAATTTTTTTCTGGTTCTATTCCTTTTCTTTCTTTTTCGTTATCGATTCGTTTAATTTTTTTTTTTTTTTTTTTTACTTATGTGCGGCGGCAGTACGCTGTAGATGGATGGATTCTGAATGCGAAATGATTGCTGGAGTTGTCTGTAGTCTGGTGTATCCATGTGGGAACGTAAAATACAAAGGGGAAAAAGAAGAAAATCGATTTATTCTAAAGTTTGGGGACAGACGGAGAACTCTATAAAATCGGAATAATAAGAAAACGTTACCAGTCGATGTAACATGCTAATATACTTTCTGACGTGACAGTATTCGAAGAATCAGCATTGCGCCACATTACGGTGAAAGGCACGCGAAGTTCACTGCAGAGATGGTGACATAATTATCTCTTGACATGCGTAGTGCAAGTCCGTCCTCTAAACTTTATATGAAAAATTTTTACTTGATTTCGTGGATGAATTTGATTCATTCATTTCGATGCCGGCGACGCAATAACAGTAAATCTGGAAAGCAAGCATATGGTAGCGATAGTTACTTCGATACATAGTTTCGGGACTTCGAACTGATATTATTCGCTAACGCATATTCATATCACGCTGTGTGACATGTGAAGCCGGAGTCCTGCCGATCGTGTAAAACATTATAATGCATGCTCTATTATTCTACTGTGAACTTTGGCACATACCAAATGAGCACCACGGGAGTTTTTCTCTGTACACCCTGACAAGAAAATATGGTGTATAACACATATATAATATATAACGCATATATAATATATAACATGTTAAGAAAATGAACCTATATTCTGTTTCATACTTAGCGTGGGACGCTGTCAAAGCTACTGGCGCGAACATGGTGCTTGATCTCGTTGATCATTTGCACGTGTTCTCGCGCAAGCAAAACCATACATGAAGCCACGCGCTCGCGCCACTAGCTTTGACAGCGTTGCACACTAAGTATGAAACAGGGTATACTCAATTCTTCCCCCCCCCCCCCCCCCTCCTCCATCCCCACACACACACACAAAAAGTACGTCCATTTGTCATTTTACGTATGTCGCATTGGACGCTACGAATCATCCCAGCCAACCCAAAGCTGTGAACACCAGTCCCGCGCGTCGCGTCGTCCCGCCCAAAAGCCACGTTACCCTCACAAGGCGTCGGATTGGCTCCGCGATGAGTCGGAGCGTTCGCTGCTGATCATCAAAAGGTGAAACGGAACATAGAGTTGCGTCAGGGGCGAATAATGACAATTATAATTAAGAGTCAATTTTTCAAGGTGCCCGAGAACAACCATACCATCTTGGTCCTTGGCACGCCGAAACTTACACGCACCACCAGTTACGCATAAAAAAACTCAGAACACCAACACAAAAATAACGAATACATCGACAACACAAACACACACACTATTGCACACCGTGTAGAAAACACAGTCCGAAATGCACGGCATGAATATGAGGCAAGAATTGCCTATCACATCCTAATAGTAATAATTATAATAATAAAACGCGATAGCGTTATCGGTTCCCGTTCTTATCGCCTCCTCATTCGCCCTGCAAGCGTGTCTTGCGTGGCATAGTCAGTAGCGTGTCTAGCTCGCAGCCGAAGGGTCCTGGGCTCGAATCCCTAGACTTCAAATTTTCCCTTAAATAAATTACTTTATAAAGTGAAATGGCGCCGACCTTTAAATCGCATTACATGTCATGTTTTTCAATCACTTTCAATCCACGCGTGACGTCACGTTTGACGTGAGCGTTGTGGGTTGTTTGAAATTCCCGCGCGAGGTCATGTGGCTGTGACGTCATGACCCTATCGACCAATCAGGATTTTCGCGTCACGCCTACGAAGTCGGCTTTTCTGCGACACAAGCTCCTTAACGCTCTCGCGTTAATAACGGCTATTAGCTCAGGAGAGCCGCTGTATCGCAGTAAGGCAACAGCTTCTGCCATGCCTAATGATGGTGATTTACATGATGATTTTATATACAATAGATATGCAATGCAATGTCTTTGAGAAGGGGTGGTTTCTTGGAATGTTGGTCCTCGGAAATGAAAGCGGCAAGCTAGAGTCGGCCGAACGATGGAACTTTGACTCGAATCATGAGCAATCTTCTCTTTCTGTTTAAACGTTGCTTCCGAGCGGTTCGTTTGAACGAACGTGGGAACGGGTCGACTCAACGCTTAAAACTGTTCGGAGTTTCCATCACTCGGCAGAAATTCCCCTTCTGCTCTGTGTTGTTTGCTGCTGCGTGGTCTTTCTTGTTTACGAACGAGCGCGTTTCGTGGGAGTGGAGAGTTCACTAAGGAGTCGATGCTTTCTCAGCTATTCCCGACACGTGGTTGCTATTTGCGGGTCTCTGCTAGGCTCGAAATAACCAGAAGGGAGTTAACTAAGCGATACGATCGTCGTAAATTTATATTTGTGACGGGGCGCGATGATGTGTGAACCTCGTGATATTTTCTGCATTATTAGTCCCTATTTAGTGTTTTGATATCCACGAGAGGATATGAATTAGCTGATAACTTCAGTCGCAGTCGGGAAGAAGAAACGTGCCTCTGACTGGGGGGAGTTTGCGGGCTGTCCTTTCTATGTGCGAACCTCGTGATATCTCTGCATTATTAGTCCCTATTTAGTGTTTTGATATCCACGAGAGGATATGAGTTAACTGATGAGTTCAGTCGCAGTCGTGAAGAAGAAACATGCCTCTGACAGAGTTTGCGGGCTGTCTTTTCTATGAAGCGTCGCACTGTGATCACGACTTTTACGGCTCAGGTTGTTCCAGGATGCACGCCTATGAATGACAGCAAGGAACATAAGACACTTTGCAGTTAGACAAAGGAACAACGGGTACTGACTGACGCAAAAATAATCCGTCGTCTGCCGTGAATGGGTTCTTTGATACGCGAAGTCACAACGCGGAACAAGTATACCCAAATCGTTACACCACCGTGCATTGCTTGTTTCGTTTTATATTTCTTTAATGAGTGGAGCTTCTATTGCAGTTCTTACGTTGATGTGTCGTTCTCGACGGGGTCAGAGCATTGAGCGGAGAGAAAATCCTACACGGATCCCCGGAACCTATCTCACGACAAAAAGAGGAAAGTTTTGTGTCAATTATTTCAAAAGTTTTTGTTTTGTTTGTGTGTGTTTGTGTAAGTGCAAGCACATAAAGTCGTCAACCACGGCGAAGAAGAATGCCGGAAAACGCGCAGCGCTCATTTCCCGGGCCAATAATGGATTTTGACGACGGGTCAAATCGAGCGAGGAATGGAGATTGCCGCGGAGTAGTGCGGCAGTATGTTTCGACGTAATCGCTCGCTTGCTTGCTCGCCGACTCGCGCACACAATCACGAGCGCATGGGGTGGGAAAGGGGGGAGGGGCGCCCACCGTGGGAAAAATGTGACGGGTTCTCGTGTTTCGGTAGCTGAAGGCTCCGTGGCTTTAAACGCGAGGAG